TTCTGTATCTGTGTGTGTGTGTGTGTGTGTGTGTGTGTGTGTGTTTACAATCCATCGGAGGTGCAAGGAATCAGCTTTGCTTGCAGAATGGCCTCCTCACTACCTTCAGAGCCGAGCACCTTATACATACACATTTTGATTAGAGTCATCAGTGCCATGATGATCCATATAGCTGCTGATATGTGTGTGCGCGTGTGTTTGTGTGTGTGTGAGTGTAGTACCTCCAGTTGCTCGTCCACAGGAATACGGAAGGCCAGAGATTGCAGCCAAAGGTGAGCGGTGCCCAGGAGCAGCGGTTCGACCGGATCCCAAAAAGGGTCTTTGTCTCTGGGCAGGGCAGCAATGGAGAGGCCCTCTCCTGGCTGACAGTACTTCATTAGGCTCAAGCCATACTTGCTCCAAAAATGCGTTTTCATCTTATCTTATTAAGTATTTAAATTACTTGTTCGCCTTTCATCTCATCCAGATGTTGCTGGTAGATTTCTTCCATCAGGAATTTGCGGTTCACAAATTTTGCCTTCGACCACATCCATACCTAACAGTTGAAGGATTAAAGAAACGTATTTCAAATATTCTAAGAATACCGGTAATAAATACATTTCATTTGCCTAATTGTACAGCTGCGCATAAATTGAATCCAGGCAACTCGGCTCTTGTTGGTGCGTTTATTCTTGTTTTCCAAAAATCATTTAAAATGACGTGTCTGTATTTATGCATGTCTGGGTAAGAATTCCATGTGAGAAAATTGCAAAACCTGTTGGGTGTGCTTTGAGGTGACTCTGCAAACGATCTCTTTCTCCAGGTCGTGTCCTTTTGAGTCAGACAGCACCAGATTCTTAATCTCCAGTTTGAACTCCACACCCTGCAGGCCAGACATATACTGACTTCGTAAGTAAGAAAATGTGAAACTTCTTCTGAACTATAGATTAATTCATTTAAGAATATGCCTGTCTTCATGTGTATGTTCAAATAGCCGTGGCTTAAAGCCTTATAAATTACCGCAAAAATCATCGCGAATACCCTTTGGCCACTCAGTGGCATTTTATTAGCATTAAGCTAGCCATCTTTCGGAAAGTAATGTGGTTTGGTTGAACACACAACCTTCAATTCTCTTTGTTTTATGTTTACTTTGATGGGAAACTTCAAATGGAAGTTGCCATCAATGTCTTATAAAAGGAACGATCACCCCAAAAATAATAACATGAAAGGAGAAAGGAATTTGTCTTCTGAAAATATTTTCTTTCACATTTTAAATTAGTGTCACTTGAATTGCACAACTAAAATAAATTGAGTTTTGCACTGCATTGATTTTTATTTTATCTGCACGTGGACTGCTTTTTGATGCATTCTCAGGTTACCTTATTCAGTTCCTGGCTCATCTGGTTGGCTTCAGCCACCAGGGGCATTAATTTAATGTAGTCATAGAAGACGGCCAGTATACTCGGATCCGTCTGACATGAATCCTTGCTGCTTTCACCTAAAACAGAATTGGACTTGTCAAGTGTTGATTGCCCCCCAAAAAAGAAAAAAAGTCATGATCAACATTGAGTTTTAGGGCTCCGGCTCACCCAAGTTGATGCCCTCAGCCGCAGCCAACTCTGACAGGAAGTAGTCATAGTCGTAGCAACTCCAGTCGTTAGCCACCCTCTCGGACGGGAAGCCGATATAAAGGTAAGTGCAGTTGGAGCCGAGAATGAGTCGGTCCTGAATGGACACCAACCAGAATGTCATGTCAGAATCGCATACACTAAATTGTCGGTAGCCTACGTGGTGACACCCACCAGGTGCTGCAGCTCAGTTGTCTGAGAAACCGCTCTCCCATTGATGGTCACCTTGGACCCCTTGAGTGGGGTTAGCGTAACTCGCCGCTGTTTGTTCTTCAATACGAGGTGGCGCTGCTGGATCCTGTCACGCAAACACACAATGTACACACCTTGTTGTGTTTTTAAGCCGGCTCGGTGTGAGCGAGCATCATCCGTACCCTAAGCCCTTGATGGAGATGGATCTGGGGCTGGCTTCACTGAGGCCAATCTCCCAATCGCCTGAAAGAACCACATTTCAGTCAATTGAGCGGTCAAAAGAGTTTCACGGTTCACTGATTCAACACTCTAATTTGTCCCTAAGTGTGAGTGTGAGCTGTGTGTGCCCTGCGATTGGCTGACAACCAGTTCAGGGTGTCCCCCACCTACTGCCCAAAGACATTTGGGATAGGCTCCAGCACCCACCGCGACCCTTGTGAGGATAAAGCGGATTAGAAAATGGATGAGATAGATGGATATTCAAATGTAGTCTTCAGTCCATATGTATGATTTTACGTGGTCACTTCAGTATATTCTTCTTAAAGTGAGTTTTCTTGACTTTTCCTGAAATGACTTTCTTTGGGTTTTGATTGGTAAAAAATGGCTTTTAACTGCGATGTTAAGATGAACAATTTGATTTTCAAGAAGTCATCAGAGTGTCATCCGTTTTATAGTGACACACAAAGCATTACTGACCCTCCTGGATGAACAGCTTAACCACACCAGAGAGCTGAGCGTCCTCATTGATGTTCAGGATGTAAGGATGCATCTGCATCATTCTCCTCTCCTGACACACACACGCACACACACACACACACATTAGAAACAGAAAGGGAGTCTCTGCAACGTGTGTGTGTGTGTGTGGGGTCTGTGCGTGCGTGCAGTATATAAGCATATACCTGTGTGATGTTGGCATACTGTTGCTCCCAGTCCCTAAGCGCCTCCTGCAGATGTTGCTCCCACAAAGTGTGAATGGTTCTGATCTGGAGCTCATTGTGTGTCAGCAGCTGCCGGATCTCCTCTGAGCACGCGCATACATGACTAATCAAACGTTCATGGAATTCTCTCATGTTCAAGTCAACAGGGCGGCTTCCTGACTGGTTTCGTCATCGGCGCTGCGTCCATCGTGGCCCAGCCGACTCAGTCGTTGCATCAGTCTGGCGTTCTCGGCTTTGAGTTCTTTGACCAGACGCTCAGTTGGGCGTTCGTTCACCACGGGGCGGTTCTGGATGTGCTTTGCCCTGAAAAATAGTGTTGAATACAAAAAAATTCATTATGGCATCATATTACTCCAAAATTTAAAATATTACCGTATTCAAAAATTCAATGAGTTAAACAAAATAAAGTTTGAGTTTAGCAAACTAAATGCAATTATGAGGTACCAGTTGAGCAAGTCAATGCTTAATTTTTTTTTTTAAGCGTAAAGCGATTCTAAAAAGCACTTTTGACACCAATTTCTCACGTGGAACAAAGAGTTCTTTTCAGTGACAAACTGTAAAGCAAAAAGCGCACCATTTCCAGTGCCTTCAAGGCTTTGGTGCCCTCGAGCAAGGCACCCAATAGAATCAGTAGCTTCTTTGGGCTTTTGTCATTGTACCTCTCAGCATAGCGAAGTGTGGACAGAGACTCCTCGTAGCAGATGTCAGCAGGGCTCAGAGTTGCAATCTAAATCATGAGCAAGTATTGTACCCACTCGAGTTCATTTTGAACACAGCGATGGCGCGTTAGTGTCACCATAACAGTCCGGCTGTTTCCTCCCAAAGCAGATTGCAGCAGTTTCGTGAGAACTGAATCTCTGTAGGGAACATGCACCACCTTCCTCCCCACCGCCATGTCAGCGAGGGTGCTACAAGCAAGAAGACGCATGTCAAACAAAGAGATTTGGACAAAATGACTAAATGAGCGGGCCGCGCCTACCTGATGACGTTGCCCAGAGTGGTGAGGCTCAGGTTGATGGCCGTCCCCTCCTTGAGACGGTCGGCCTCGGACGACGCCGATCTCTGACGCTCGCTTCCTGCCAGGTCTACCAGGTTAATGTTGGACTGTTTGGTGACGCTCTCTTGAGGTAAGATCTTCACATCAAGTTCACATCAGCAACAAATAGCAAGTGGAGCTTCACTCACCAAGAGAACAGTTGGTAACACACCATTTTAGGAGGCCAATATTCATTTTCAATCATAAGGGGAAATATTTAATAACTTTGTTGGAATGTCTATAAGCATAAGTTAATTGAATAACTTTTCAGATTTGTTTTAAAATTCTAACAAAAGGTTCGGGGTGCTCCCAAGGTCAACCGCATGTTGCAACTCAAAAGTAAAAGGTGCAGCGTTCCCTGTGTCAGCAGGATCGCTTGTCGGCCTTCAGATTAAAAATGCAGATATTCGGCAAAAATATCAGCGCTAATAATGGGATAGGACGGTAGTCTGTCTATCACTAATGCGTAACTAACGCTTCCAGTTTCCAAGTAGCAGCAAAGAAACTTGACGAATTTAGAGAAGTGATTATTTAAGCGTGGGAAGTATTTTTGGTGGCACGTGGGCTCTACTGGTATGTGAAAAAAAATCACAAATGTACGGTAACTTTTTTTACTTTTTAAAAATTATTGTGTCACGTTACACCGGGTTCAATTGGTTTAGTCCTGCACAGTACATTATTATTTTTTAAATCAAATTATGAATTTAGAAAAATTCTTGACAATAGTTTGAGAATTTTGACAGTACAATGTTCAGTAACTCAAAAATACATCTTTAAAAAAATCCTGAAAAATACAGATTTTGGAAATGCAAGGTTTCTGTCTGACACCAATGACATTTTTGGAGGAATAATCCTTAAAAATATGTATTTCCTAATTCATTCAGTTATTTGTGAATGGACGCCACCTGTTTGAGCTGTAGTACAATGAGCATGTGTGAGCGGCTGCTGTTTGTGTTCATGTGCGTGGCTGCGGTGGTTCTGGTTCTGGTGCCCTGCTCCATCAGCTGTTCCACCTATGGCATATTGGAATATTACCCTTTGATATTTTTGTCGTTGTTTTTTTTTTTTGCAAAGTACAGTAGAAAAAAATGAGGGCGTCTCAGCCACCTGTGCTGCACTATCACAAGGGACTGTACGCAGACCCTCCACATAGAAGCCCCTGTGCTGCTCCTCTCGAACCCGGAGCCCCCCAGGAGGACGAGAACCACGGGATAGCAGATCCACCACCTGTTAGGGTGTGAAGTTTTATAAAGGAGGTAATTTGCTAAGATAATGGTATTGCCATGAAAAAGAGAAGAACGTAAGAAGCGTTTTAAAGGACGAGGACAGACGGGGATAAGACGGAAGGGTACCCAGGATGCGGAATCACGTCAAGTGCCCATCTCTGACAGTACTAATATGACCTCAGCCATCTTGGGAGTTCTATTATTCAAAGTCAACTGCAGCGGCAGTTTCTGGCATGTATTTTATTTTTTAAACATAGTTTTTAACAAATGTGTGTCGTTATTTGGTACAGAGTGTTGAAAAACGACCTTGGGAAATGAGCCACATGCTGCTTTGCCATTCTCGCCTTAACTGTCAAATCATAGTCCATCTACTTAAAGAGTACAACAAAACATGTTACCATGGCAACATCACTGGTTATTTTACCTGCTCATTGTAGATTTCCAACATACTGAAGAAGACCTGTGACGATATCAAACGTAAAGACATTTAGAACAGACATCCACATACAGACAAATGCATGAATATGTACGTACAGCAGTATATTTATTTACCTGGCATTGTCTCGTGTCCTGGTTTTCTTTAATGGCTTCAAAGAGTCGATCACACAGTTTGGGAACTAGGCCTTTATTGGGCCTGTAACCCACCAACGAGTAACTTTTGCCAGAGCCAGTCTGTCCGTAAGCCAGCAGGGTGGCGTTGTAACCCTGCACACACATCAATGTATCGTGTGTACATCACATGTATTTTATTCCAAAACAGATGTTTGATACCTGGAGTGCATTCTCTAGTATTCCTTCCCCAAGGTCCTGGAACACACATTCCTGAGGGGAAATCACATGACAAAAGTATTCATTCACGCTCTGTCCATAAGTGTGTGTGTGTGTGTGTGTGTGGGGGGGGGGGGTCACAGCTATAAATTACAGCGCAGGGTAAAATCTGTATTGTGTAAGCTTTTATAGGTCAAATCTGAAAAAATAAAACTTCTCAAAAACCTTACATGTTACAAAAAAGTAAAGATTTTTATTTTTATGATTTTTTTTTTTTTTAATCTGCATCAACAATTCATTCGAGGACCTATGAATCCATCTCTGATTAAGATTTGCTGTTGACTAATACTTCCCACCACGGCTCACAGGTACTCAATACTACTTACCTGGTCTGCATAGCGCCCGCCCGCCTCCTCGGGCAGGTAGAGGCCAGTGCGGTCCTGGACTACGTAGCCACTGTGGGACCAGTAGGCGTAGTCGAAGCAGAAGGAGCGGCGGCACTGAGAGTCACGTGGGTCCTGGATGCTGATGGAACTCGCTGTCATGGTAACGACGCAGCGGCTGCCTGCATCCCTTTCCCTCTGTTGGCCAGGAGGACAGTGAAAGGCAAGTATGAACAAGGCCAAGGATCCTCACTGGACACTGCACATCTTTATTTTTAGGGGCAATCAGCTAACCCTTTATTTGACATACTGGATGTCAAATTGGCCCGAAATGACCCGAAGTGATCACGTGATCATCATCAGAACTGATCGGAGACGGCGGGAAAAGCAGAGCAGGAACCAGGAAGGCATGTAGCCTGACAGCGGGGTTTGAGGGGAAGGGCGCCAAACGCATTTTCCGACAAAACTATTAATTGGAAGGGTGAGGAAAATGACATACATAAATGAAATGAACACCACAGGTTAATTTTTAAGGATTTTTATTGATTTTAGAAGCTTTCCCTGAAAATTAAGACAACTTCTTTTTGGGGGGATTTTTATGAACTTTAAGGACCCCTGGGAACCGTGTGACTGTACTTTTATAAAGCACATTTACATTTCAAACGAAGTTCAAACTACCAAATTACCATCAGATGGGTTCTTATTTTGTATATATACCAACACAAACTATGTTGTCTACGAAGTATAACACAACGTGTCCCAGGATATGTGACAATGGAACATGGAGAGATATACTTATTGACAATATAAACGCTAGCTTACAGTACAGACCGAACGCTAGCCTAATGTTCGTTAAAATTATAACACACTGACCTTGTTGAACGGTCGGACTCTAACAGCCACCTTGACACAGTCCCTGCCATGCATAGTTGATGCTTTCTCAGTGGAGGAATGAAACAGACCAGGGGACAATCGCGCGCGCGCACATGCACACGCACACACAAACACACACGCACACACACTTTTGTCCTGTTACATACTGAATAATGAGACACTGTGACGTGCAGGGAATAAGAAAATAAAACATTCCTTGAAATAGTTAGCAGCACAGAATGCTACTTGTGTGGGTTATTTTCATTTCCTCCTATATGACTAGCTGGTGAGGTTTAAGAGCAGATCAGTTTTCACTTTCACCCTGCCTGCCGGTTGCTCCCATGAATCATTCATGTGTGCGCGCGACATCATTTACCAGGCCATTTTAGCGTTTGTTGTCGTGATGTGTCGGTCGCGAACGAGCCGGTACAAACAGTCGGCTCTTTGAAGTGAACGATGACAGCCGGCACCCTCCCTCGAGAGCCGGCTCTGTCATTTTCCTTCTCTCTCTCTCTCTCTCTCTCTCTCTCTCTCTCTCTCTCTCTCTCTCTCTCTCTCTCTCTCTCTATGTCGCTCTCTCTATGTCGCTCTCTCTTTTTCCACGTGTCTGAAGCGAGGTTTGGCAGTGGCTCTGCTGCCATGCTCAGAGAGGTAGACCAGAAGAGAAAGGGGAGGGGCGAGGGGCTTGGGAGGGACTGCACTGAGTGCACGCTCCGTCGCGTCTGCGCAACCACAGATCGTTTTTTTTAATCATTTCAAATCATGTACGGAGTATTACAACTTTTATACCGGAAAAAAAAACCCACTTGTGAACCGATCTCACAAAGACCATTTTGGCTCAAATCCAGATCGTCTCAAGACAATGCCGTTCTCCATCGCTTCTATTGTCACGGCAAACCAGCAAAAGTAATCCTCAATTGTATATTTTTTTTCATCGCTGCGTATGGTAGGATTGATAAAACATGACGTGCGCATGCGCGGTAAACCGTTGGAAGGGTTTTTGTTGCTTTGTAAGGGGAATCGTAATCATTTATAAGGGCAGCGATTAGCCGAGCTTGACAGGTCTAAAAACGCCTTACTATACATGGTCGTTTTCTTCAGCTAAAAACGCCTTACTATACATGGTCGGTTTTTTCGGGTTAAAACGCCTTACTATACATGGTCGTTTGTTTTGGGTTAAAAGGCCTTACTATACATTGTCGTTTTTTTTCGGGTTAAAATGCCTTACGATACATTGTCGTTTTTTTCGTCGAAAAACGCCTTACTATACATAGTCGTTTTTTTCGGGTTAAAATGCCTTACTATACATCGTCGTTTTTTTTTTCCGGCTAAAAACGCCTTACTATACTATGTCGTTTTTTTTCGGCTAAAGACGCCTTACTATACATGGTCGTTTTTTCGGCTAAAAACGCCTGACTATACATGGTCGTTTTTTCGGCTAAAAACGCCTGACTATACATGGTCGTTTTTTCGGCTAAAAACGCCTGACTATACATGGTCGTTTTTTCGGCTAAAAACGCCTGACTATACATGGTCGTTTTTTCGGCTAAAAACGCCTGACTATACATGGTCGTTTTTTCGGCTAAAAACGCCTGACTATACATGGTCGTTTTTTCGGCTAAAAACGCCTGACTATACATGGTCGTTTTTTCGGCTAAAAACGCCTGACTATACATGGTCGTTTTTTTCGGCGAAAAAAGCCTTACTATACATTGTCGTTTTTTTTTTGTCGAAAAACGCCTTACTATACATGGGCGTTTTTTTCGGCTAAAAACGCCTGACTATACATAGTCGTTTTTTTCGGCTAAAAACGCCTGACTATACATAGTCGTTTTTTTCGGCTAAAAACGCCTGACTATACATAGTCGTTTTTTTCGGCTAAAAACGCCTGACTATACATAGTCGTTTTTTTCGGCTAAAAACGCCTGACTATACATAGTCGTTTTTTTCGGCTAAAAACGCCTGACTATACATAGTCGTTTTTTTCGGCTAAAAACGCCTGACTATACATAGTCGTTTTTTTCGGCTAAAAACGCCTGACTATACATAGTCGTTTTTTTCGGCTAAAAACGCCTGACTATACATAGTCGTTTTTTTCGGCTAAAAACGCCTGACTATACATAGTCGTTTTTTTCGGCTAAAAACGCCTGACTATACATAGTCGTTTTTTTCGGCTAAAAACGCCTGACTATACATAGTCGTTTTTTTCGGCTAAAAACGCCTGACTATACATAGTCGTTTTTTTCGGCTAAAAACGCCTGACTATACATAGTCGTTTTTTTCGGCTAAAAACGCCTGACTATACATAGTCGTTTTTTTCGGCTAAAAACGCCTGACTATACATAGTCGTTTTTTTCGGCTAAAAACGCCTGACTATACATAGTCGTTTTTTTCGGCTAAAAACGCCTGACTATACATAGTCGTTTTTTTCGGCTAAAAACGCCTGACTATACATAGTCGTTTTTTTCGGCTAAAAACGCCTGACTATACATAGTCGTTTTTTTCGGCTAAAAACGCCTGACTATACATAGTCGTTTTTTTCGGCTAAAAACGCCTGACTATACATAGTCGTTTTTTTCGGCTAAAAACGCCTGACTATACATAGTCGTTTTTTTCGGCTAAAAACGCCTGACTATACATAGTCGTTTTTTTCGGCTAAAAACGCCTGACTATACATAGTCGTTTTTTTCGGCTAAAAACGCCTGACTATACATAGTCGTTTTTTTCGGCTAAAAACGCCTGACTATACATAGTCGTTTTTTTCGGCTAAAAACGCCTGACTATACATAGTCGTTTTTTTCGGCTAAAAACGCCTGACTATACATAGTCGTTTTTTTCGGCTAAAAACGCCTGACTATACATGGTCGTTTTTTTTCGTCGAAAAACGCCTGACTATGCACGGTCATTTATTTCGGCTAAAAACGCCTTACTTTACATGGTCGTTTTTTTCGGCTAAAAACGCCTGACTATACATGGTCGTTTTTTTCGGCTAAAAACGCCTTCCGATACATGGTCGTTTTTTTTCGTCGAAAAACGCCTGACTATACATGGTCGTTTTTTTCGGCTAAAAACGCCTTCCGATACATGGTCGTTTTTTTTCGTCGAAAAACGCCTGACTATACATGGTCGTTTTTTTCGGCTAAAAACGCCTTCCGATACATGGTCGTTTTTTTTCGTCGAAAAACGCCTGACTATACATGGTCGTTTTTTTCGGCTAAAAACGCCTTCCGATACATGGTCGTTTTTTTTCGTCGAAAAACGCCTGACTATACATGGTCGTTTTTTTCGGCTAAAAACGCCTTCCGATACATGGTCGTTTTTTTTCGTCGAAAAACGCCTGACTATACATGGTCGTTTTTTTCGGCTAAAAACGCCTTCCGATACATGGTCGTTTTTTTTCGTCGAAAAACGCCTGACTATACATGGTCGTTTTTTTCGGCTAAAAACGCCTTCCGATACATGGTCGTTTTTTTTCGTCGAAAAACGCCTGACTATACATGGTCGTTTTTTTCGGCTAAAAACGCCTTCCGATACATGGTCGTTTTTTTTCGTCGAAAAACGCCTGACTATACATGGTCGTTTTTTTCGGCTAAAAACGCCTTCCGATACATGGTCGTTTTTTTTCGTCGAAAAACGCCTGACTATACATGGTCGTTTTTTTCGGCTAAAAACGCCTTCCGATACATGGTCGTTTTTTTTCGTCGAAAAACGCCTGACTATACATGGTCGTTTTTTTCGGCTAAAAACGCCTTCCGATACATGGTCGTTTTTTTTCGTCGAAAAACGCCTGACTATACATGGTCGTTTTTTTCGGCTAAAAACGCCTTCCGATACATGGTCGTTTTTTTTCGTCGAAAAACGCCTGACTATACATGGTCGTTTTTTTCGGCTAAAAACGCCTTCCGATACATGGTCGTTTTTTTTCGTCGAAAAACGCCTGACTATACATGGTCGTTTTTTTCGGCTAAAAACGCCTTCCGATACATGGTCGTTTTTTTTCGTCGAAAAACGCCTGACTATACATGGTCGTTTTTTTCGGCTAAAAACGCCTTCCGATACATGGTCGTTTTTTTTCGTCGAAAAACGCCTGACTATACATGGTCGTTTTTTTCGGCTAAAAACGCCTTCCGATACATGGTCGTTTTTTTTCGTCGAAAAACGCCTGACTATACATGGTCGTTTTTTTCGGCTAAAAACGCCTTCCGATACATGGTCGTTTTTTTTCGTCGAAAAACGCCTGACTATACATGGTCGTTTTTTTCGGCTAAAAACGCCTTCCGATACATGGTCGTTTTTTTTCGTCGAAAAACGCCTGACTATACATGGTCGTTTTTTTCGGCTAAAAACGCCTTCCGATACATGGTCGTTTTTTTTCGTCGAAAAACGCCTGACTATACATGGTCGTTTTTTTCGGCTAAAAACGCCTTCCGATACATGGTCGTTTTTTTTCGTCGAAAAACGCCTGACTATACATGGTCGTTTTTTTCGGCTAAAAACGCCTTCCGATACATGGTCGTTTTTTTTCGTCGAAAAACGCCTGACTATACATGGTCGTTTTTTTCGGCTAAAAACGCCTTCCGATACATGGTCGTTTTTTTTCGTCGAAAAACGCCTGACTATACATGGTCGTTTTTTTCGGCTAAAAACGCCTTCCGATACATGGTCGTTTTTTTTCGTCGAAAAACGCCTGACTATACATGGTCGTTTTTTTCGGCTAAAAACGCCTTCCGATACATGGTCGTTTTTTTTCGTCGAAAAACGCCTGACTATACATGGTCGTTTTTTTCGGCTAAAAACGCCTTCCGATACATGGTCGTTTTTTTTCGTCGAAAAACGCCTGACTATACATGGTCGTTTTTTTCGGCTAAAAACGCCTTCCGATACATGGTCGTTTTTTTTCGTCGAAAAACGCCTGACTATACATGGTCGTTTTTTTCGGCTAAAAACGCCTTCCGATACATGGTCGTTTTTTTTCGTCGAAAAACGCCTGACTATACATGGTCGTTTTTTTCGGCTAAAAACGCCTTCCGATACATGGTCGTTTTTTTTCGTCGAAAAACGCCTGACTATACATGGTCGTTTTTTTCGGCTAAAAACGCCTTCCGATACATGGTCGTTTTTTTTCGTCGAAAAACGCCTGACTATACATGGTCGTTTTTTTCGGCTAAAAACGCCTTCCGATACATGGTCGTTTTTTTTCGTCGAAAAACGCCTGACTATACATGGTCGTTTTTTTCGGCTAAAAACGCCTTCCGATACATGGTCGTTTTTTTTCGTCGAAAAACGCCTGACTATACATGGTCGTTTTTTTCGGCTAAAAACGCCTTCCGATACATGGTCGTTTTTTTTCGTCGAAAAACGCCTGACTATACATGGTCGTTTTTTTCGGCTAAAAACGCCTTCCGATACATGGTCGTTTTTTTTCGTCGAAAAACGCCTGACTATACATGGTCGTTTTTTTCGGCTAAAAACGCCTTCCGATACATGGTCGTTTTTTTTCGTCGAAAAACGCCTGACTATACATGGTCGTTTTTTTCGGCTAAAAACGCCTTCCGATACATGGTCGTTTTTTTTCGTCGAAAAACGCCTGACTATACATGGTCGTTTTTTTCGGCTAAAAACGCCTTCCGATACATGGTCGTTTTTTTTCGTCGAAAAACGCCTGACTATACATGGTCGTTTTTTTCGGCTAAAAACGCCTTCCGATACATGGTCGTTTTTTTTCGTCGAAAAACGCCTGACTATACATGGTCGTTTTTTTCGGCTAAAAACGCCTTCCGATACATGGTCGTTTTTTTTCGTCGAAAAACGCCTGACTATACATGGTCGTTTTTTTCGGCTAAAAACGCCTTCCGATACATGGTCGTTTTTTTTCGTCGAAAAACGCCTGACTATACATGGTCGTTTTTTTCGGCTAAAAACGCCTTCCGATACATGGTCGTTTTTTTTCGTCGAAAAACGCCTGACTATACATGGTCGTTTTTTTCGGCTAAAAACGCCTTCCGATACATGGTCGTTTTTTTTCGTCGAAAAACGCCTGACTATACATGGTCGTTTTTTTCGGCTAAAAACGCCTTCCGATACATGGTCGTTTTTTTTCGTCGAAAAACGCCTGACTATACATGGTCGTTTTTTTCGGCTAAAAACGCCTTCCGATACATGGTCGTTTTTTTTCGTCGAAAAACGCCTGACTATACATGGTCGTTTTTTTCGGCTAAAAACGCCTTCCGATACATGGTCGTTTTTTTTCGTCGAAAAACGCCTGACTATACATGGTCGTTTTTTTCGGCTAAAAACGCCTTCCGATACATGGTCGTTTTTTTTCGTCGAAAAACGCCTGACTATACATGGTCGTTTTTTTCGACAACCTTAACCTTGTCAAGAAGAGAAAGTTTAACTTGGAGAAGACCACCCAATGAAAACTCAAGACATGTCGCAACGTTCAATGTTTATTGTGTTTATCAAAGAGCAGTCATCAAAAATAACATTCTACATACACTCTTCAGAAAATAACCTATGTATCAGCTATACAACACTCAGGTCAACAAATCCATTTTTTTTCCTTTTCTTTGCAGTTTTTTTTCTTTGCATTTGCACACTGTACAACATTGCCAGTAGGAAGAGAGTCCAATTTTTTGGCACCAAAGAACATGTCGTGCGCCCCAATCTTCAAATCAAAACGTAAGACTAAACAGTGTGATTACATAAGTAAATGTGGTAAAACTTCCAAAGGGGGAAAAAATAGAATTTATTATTTAACATTATTTGGAACAAAGAAAATTTACATTGTTAGAAATATTGGTTGAATTTCTTAACAGCGGTGTTCCAAGAGGTTTAATATTAAACCGCTAATGTTTAAAAGAGAATGGATTGAAAGTCTCCTCAAAAAAGAATGACTTCTTTCTCTGGTTCTTTTTAACGGGAGCATCTATAACAAACAAGCAGTCGATCACTGCCAGGTCGAGACCAAAACAAAATGGCCACTGATGCAGCCTTTAACTCATTTACTGCCGGCCCAGTAAAAACGGATCTTTGACATCTTTCGCCGTTAATGGCAGTGAATGAGTTAAGACATTTTGTCCAAATGAACTAAGCAGCACTTTTGAGGTCAACCACCAACTTTCAATCAGAGATTCTTTCTGCGTGTGACAGGCTTGATGAAAACGCTGTCCATTATGCGTTTACGGCGGAGGTTCATTCTCGATGACGTCCGAGCGGCTCCTTGCTTCTCCCTCTTCCGGGCTTGCGGGGCCTGATTGACCGGACTGGGCAGTGGTGAGATCAGATCCACTTCGACCAGGGGAAGAGGCTCCGGGGCGGATCTGGATATGAAGGTGGAGTATGAAAAGTAAATGAAACATCAAATGGTGGCAAAGAAGCAAGAGAAAACCAAACAAAAACATTTTCATACAGTGGGCCCTTGCATACTCGCAATTTGCCATCGATGGATTTGCCGATTTGTGGATTTTTTTTCCCCCCCATATTGTTTCAAAAAATATTTTTTAAAACAAATTTTGCTATCTTAGTGCTTAAAAAGTGTTTTTTTTTTTTTTAACAAGCGTGTTCTCTTTCTTTTTTTATTAAAATCCATTTACAAACATTTGGTGGTGTTTCTTGGTGTGCTGTAATAGATTTGTGACATTTCCATTCATTTCAATGAGGAAAGAAAATTTGAGATTAGTGTTTTTTGGGCAACAAGCGCGGTAAAGGAGCAAGTTCAACTTAAAAGTCAAGGCACCACTGCATTTTCTAAGGTTAACTAAGAAAAGGTCAAAGCAGTTAAAGTAATCATACTTGGCTGTTCGTTTGGCACTTGTTCTGCTTTTTGAAACTGGTTTCGCCTTTTTCGTGTAGTCTTCATCTGAAGTGAAGTCTTCCTGGAAGGAAACGAACAAGTGACATCGCAACAATTTCATGACTGTTAAAATAAAATTGACTTGTATGCGGGCTGTATACTGAAGGAAAGTCCTCATGTATGCAGCGTGTTTTAGTCCCACTAAGGGTTACTTATCTGTCTACACGAGCAGTAGACAAACTTTTGTTGTCTTACGGGCCACATTTGGTTCCAAATGGTTAGAAGGGCAACGTCATCCGTCGATCATTCAATTTCAATTATCATCATTTTTTCAATCAAATAAAACAAAACAAAACAAAAAAAAAAAGTGTTGAATGTACAATATGCAAATGACTGATTTGTTTTGTTATTCTACATTTTGTTTGCAGGATATATCAATTAACTCCCGGTAATCCTTTAAAGACAAATTGCAAAATGATTTAAAAACATTTACAAAAAAAAAAAAATGATGAATGAATTACCAAAATATAACAGAGCTCTTGATAATCTAATTGCTCATTGGGAACACTTGGTCTATGATGCCCCCCCCAAAAATGCACAAGATGAAGGTTTGTGCAAAACCCCTACCGGTAAGTCTCACTTCGTTAGCATTTTCATGTGTCTCTACTTTCACTCCATTACACTTCCAAACAAAAGCGGCTGCTTTTACAGTGACTTTGCCCACCGCAAATCTGTTAAAATTGTTTCTTAATGGAATGTCTGAATTGCAAAGCAAAAAGCAAAAGAGCGGTTGTGGCATAGTCAAGAGGTGCGCGTAATCAGGAAATCCTTCCATGAGAGATTGAGGCCAGCAGGCCTACCCAAAATGCACATCTTAAACTACAGCACTGAAATAAACTCAATACACAAAAGTATAATGAAAATAAAGAAAAAGAATAACAATCCTCACTCCTCACTTTAAAAAAAAAAAAATAATAATAATAATACTTTATGACTTCCAATGCTTAAGTCTGTGAAATCCTGTGAAAGGTATTTTCGGTTAAGATACTTCCCCTTTTACTCAAGTATCACTTTTAGTGGCAGCAGACAAGAATGGAAAAAAAAAATGGAATATGCAGACGTGTATGTTCCATTTGTGAATGCTGACCTTTGAAGCACCGTCGACAGCTCTTCTCGCGTTGCGAGTGACGGCCACCGGAACATCGTCACTGGGGCCCGGCGACTCCGCTATGCTGGCTGACAAACACACGCGCGCTACAATGTGAAGACCAGCGTGGTTCGAAACGGAAGGAGGCGGGGTCGATGTGAAGAGCACCTCTTGTTCTCCTCCGTGAGGGCAAGTAGACGAATGAATGGTTTCCTGGGCTGGTCTCGTCCTTTGCAGAATCTCCCACCAGGACATCCGCGGACGATGTCGTCCTTCTGGTCCTCGACCTCTTTCTGACAACTTCGCCTGGGAAGAAGAACAGGAGCTTGAGTGAGCATGTATCGTGTTTTTTTAAAATGGCGTCCTACATCGTACCTTTCTGCTTCTCCTCTTCGTCCTGGAGCCTCTTGATGAGGGCGTCAGCTACCGGGGTTTCAGAATCCACCTCCAAAGGGGTAGCCAGTAAGAAGAGGTCTTCCTCTGGGTGCTCCCACAATTTGCTTCTGGTTGTCTGCCGGAGACTCTCACGACCCGCGGCGCTGTTCAGTTTGGGCTCATGCTTGCCATGACTGACGCTCGCCTCCATCTTTGCTGGACTCTGAGGGGGTGACACAGAGCACAGTTAAATAAGAAGGGTCAAAGAGGCCAGTAATTGACGGATGGAAGGATCCATCCAGCTGTGCAGAAAGACGACTAAACTTTGAAAATGCAATGAAATGAATCCAAAAATATTCAATTCATTCATTCATATGGTGGCAGAAATAAAAAGTATGGTCATGCTGACATGAGATGTATGTTTTTGTTTTCACAAGTTAAAACAGGTCTCACAAAATGGTTTGCTGCTATACACGATGTGAATTTAAGAAATAAAGACTGCTGATTATATATTTAAAAAAAGACAACTAATTGCTCATTCGTCAGTGTCATATTGTTATGTGTTTTGTTTGATAAAACCCTCCCTTCAGGTTCCCGGAAAAATATGCTCCAGAAAATTAGAACTTTGCTCAAATGAAGTCACTGATTCACAAAACTGCTCTGCAAGAAAAAAAAAAAAAGACATTTGAGCCTAAGTTGATTGCGACACACTTCTTAGCCATGTTCTAGCGCCACCTCTGTCCACTTTGCAACTGTAAAACCTGGATTTCCAGACTGCAGGACCCCCAAAAAAGGGCTGTTTTATTCTTCTGCAGTATCAATTTACATGAGAGGTGAATACTTACGTCTGGAAAGACGTCGAGAATGACGCGCCTGGACTGACGCGTCGGCCTCGTCGGGCTGGAATCGGCCTGTGTTCCGCCCTCCTCCTCCTTTGACGGTTTGAGCCTCGTGATGCTGCGCTTGACCGCTGCTGAAAAAACCTCCACCTGTTCTTTGTCTTCCTCTCGTAGGACCTCCAGTGTGGTTTGCAACACCTCGTTGCTGTTAAGGACTCGACGACTGGACCTCCTTGGGGTGTTTGTGTGAGAGCTTGTGCGTTTGGCGCGGCTGGAAGTCCTGCTGGCTGCTTTCGGAGCAATGTTTGTATCGCTGATCTCATCTTCTGGTTCCTCCTCTCTGGCATCGGGTTCGTCCTTACTTCTGCTTGTTTGTCTGGTTCGAACAGGAGCGGCTCTTTGAGAAGCTCGTCGTCTGTATGGTGATGGAGCAGCGTAATTATGTAAAGCTGCTGTTGCCTCGTCTTTATCCATCTCCTCCTCCTGAGGCTGGCCCTTTTTTGGACTTCCCTCCTGGGCTTGAGGAAATTCAGGTTGAGCTTTGCGAGAGCTTCTCCGAGGTGTACCGGCTCGCATTTTGGTGCCTTTCGTTCCAGATGTTCGACTGAGCGAGGCAGGGACCACGGTGCTCTTATCTGCCGTCTCCGGTTCCTCAGGGATGGGAGTAATGAACGTAACCGTTCTCCTCGAGCGTGTTGTCATTCGGGTGGGAGTGAACGGAACTGTCGTCTTCCTCTGAGAAGTTGAAGTCTCCGGGGCAAGAGCTTCAGGTTCACCGGTTGAAGTGAAATCCTGAACCTCTTCATTACTTATTTGGCTCTCATTTGGATGTTCTCGGTTATCCAGTTCTGAGGGGTCGAGATGTTGCTGGTCTTCTTCCGAAGAGTTTGCTGTCTCTGCATGGTTGGCAGCTCCTTCCATCTCAACAGGTTCATCTCCTTCAGAGCCTTTCTGGGCCCCGGCAATTTCAGGTTTCCCTTCCTCTAGTTCCATCTCGACATTGGCATCTTGTGCTATCACAAAATTCCCGCTATCGCTCTCCTCCAAAGTGTCTGTAGGTTCCTGCGACGCGGTAGTCTCAGAGTCCGGTAAAATGACAGGCTCGTGATCTTTCGCATCCATTTCTTCTGCCGCATTCAGTTCGACCTCAGTGTTCTGTGGCTCGGTCTGCCCATTGATTTCCTTCCTCTCATCTTCTGGTGTGGCCGCCTCACACTCGAGAGCATCCGGTGCCAGAAAAATAATCTCACGTTGTGTTGCCAGGTCACCGGAGGCCGCCGCTATCGGTTCCGATGACTCGGTACAATTCTCCATGGGCAACACATGCGCCTCGTGACCGCCATCCTCATCCATGTCCAGCACCAGCGAGAAGGTGCCATGACTTGCACACTTCTGCTCGTCTGGTACGACGGCTTGCTGCAGCTCAGGCAGTTGCAGTGGGGCGGCGTCGATCGCCTCCCGTTGGCCATCCACAAGCTCCAGAGGAACAAGGAGAGTGGTTGAAGGTTTCAGCTCCATGTAGGATGACCCTGGTCCCTCGCCCCCGAGCGTCTCCTTTACTTCCGTATCTGCCCCAAGTCTCACCATCAACACATCTCCTTCCATTTCCTCTCCGACCATCTGGAATGACAGAAACAAACAAAAGTACTTTTCAGACCAACAATCTCATTTATTTGATTTGGATTTGGATTGGCACGATACCTTCATCTCAACCCCCGGCGGTATAAGAGAAAACTGTGCGGCGTCCTGCTCCGACAAAGCCGATAAGAAGTGATTGTTTTCTTCATGAAGAAAGGCCGAGCTGGCTGGGAGGCCTCGTAGACTCCCGTTTCCCTGGATTTCCTCAATGATCTCCACTTCACTACCAGAGTCCTCCTCATCATTACACTCTTCCTCATCAGATTCCTCTTCTTCTTCTTCATCATCATCATCCCCCTCCTCCTCCTCCTCCTCAGATTCGGAGCTCGATAGTTCTTCACTGTCGTTCATACTCGCAACCGCTAGGAGACATGAAAAAGCATGTGAGAATGTAAATGAGGCACAGGAAACTTGCGTCGGCGTTCACGCATCCTCCTCACAGTTGGAGTCGGTGCCTGTCGGCTCGGAAGATGTCACAGAGGCAGTGGATTTTTGGCTGGTGAATACAGGTGGAGCTTTGGCAGAAGGCTCCTCTTCCTCCTCTGTATTTTTAAATACATCCACGATCCTGACAAAAAATATGTGAAGATTTATACTCCAAAAAGAAATGAAACGGTACGGCAATATTTACAACAAAATTCAATTTACCGTATTGGCCCGAATATAAGACGGCCATGATTATAAGACGACCCCCTTTTTCAAAACTCAATTTATAGAATTGATCATTTTGGTGGATCCTCACCCCATATTTGATCAATAAAACTCTAATATGCATGTTTGTAGAGAGTAGATAAAAAACACAAACCCGCTGGGGGCTGTCTGTGACAAGACGTGAATTCCAGAGCGGGTCAGAGGAGGAGACAGGCCACTACCAAACAAATGTCGCTCCACAAACTCATTCAGATCTAGTTAATCAAAGCAAGAGATTGGTTAAAAACAGAAATATTGAAAATCACAACAATGGTGAGAGCTGAAGACTCCCAGGACACACCTGTTGATTGCTCCAAATTCTCTGCTGGTACATCTGCAGGTTCAGTGTCTCCACATGTTTGCGCATGCTCAGTGAAGGCTGCAGCTTCAATGTCTCCAAATGAGTTCATGCGCTGGATGAATTTTGTGGCTTCACCGTCTTCACATGCGTTCTCTTGCTGCGTGATCGGGATGGCTTGAGAGTCTCCACATGCGTTCTGGTGTTCTAAAATGGCGGTGGATTCAAGGGCTTGTGACTGGGCTGGATGCTCCTCGGTGGTGAATGACAGAGGCTGAGATGCTGTCTCTGCGGCAGCGACCAACAGCTCGTCACCTAGCAACAGAAACATGTTAAAACACTGCGATGTCATGTCACACAATGAGTGAAAAAGAAGAAACAGGTTATTTTGTATGTAGTTGATGTAATGAATTCAATAACGGAACTAATTACCATGATATGATGGTTCTTCTTGGTCAATAAATTCGACAGCTGCTTCTTTGCTACCTGATTCCGTGTCTGGTGCATTGTCCAATTTGCACTCAACTTGCTCTCTGTCAATAACCTCAGGATTTTCTCGGTCCCCTCCCAACTCATCTAGTTGGTTCTCCGTTTTACACTCAGCTGCTTCTTTGTTGTCATCGTCTTGCTCCACAGCAATCTCCATCACATCTTCAAAGGTCTCTTCTTCCATAAGCTCCTGGCCTTCACTCTCAGCATCGTTTGATAATTGCAGAGAAGCCCGCTCGGTAGCTGGAATAGAGTTCTGCTCTGGTTCGTTTTCACCCAAAAATTTAAGGTTTACAGTCACAACGTCATCTTCTTTATCGGTGTCGAGATGCTCCTCCTCCTGATGTTCCTCCGCATCATAGTACTCCAGAGTGGTGTCCGTCACCTGGAAAGATGTCTGGCTTGTGTCAAAGCTCAAGCTAGGTTGATCTTGGGTTGCGTCCAAGGGATTGGTTAATTTTGCAGCTTCGTGGATTGGGAATGATTCCTTCAGAGAGCATCTCAGCTGCGGCGAGGGAATACCGCCTTCGGGCGGCATAAACTTGACGTGGGGCGATTCTGGTTCTTCATCTTCATCGAGTTGTGCAGACCAGGTCTTGCGTGTGCGAGACAGGCTGGCTCCTCTGGTGAGTAGGTCAATGTCACGGTCTGCTAGCATCTACAGAGGACAAGGGTTCCAGATGAATTGGGAAAAGCTGCACAGGTGACTTTACTTAAACAGTATATTTAGACTACAAGTCACACTTTTCATAGTTTGCCTTGTACTGTGACTTATGCTCAGGTGCAACTTTTGTATATGTTAACAGCTCTGATTGGCTCCCAAAATCCCCGTTTCCTAAGCGTGTCGATTGACTAGGTATAACCGCTGCAATTGGGGATTTTAGGTAAGGTAAACCATTTTAAACAACACAAAAACTTTTCAAGCGGAAGTATTGATTTCACCTGGAACTCTCAAACAACACAGAGTGCGTTCAAATATTCACTCTAATGGCCATACACTGCTCGAGTGTGTGTGTGTGTGTGTGTGTGTGTACAGAAAGGCAGTGCCCTCCAATCAACAGGTCGTGCTTGAAACTGTTGACTATTGGACTTACTGATGCAGTGGTCTCAGCCACTCCTTTTTTGGTTACACGCCGGAGCACTGTTTTTTTTTCTTTTTTCTCTTCTACATGATTTATTTTTGACCGGTGAGACTTATACTCGAGTGCGATTTATAGTCCCAAAAAGATGCTACTTAGTTTGAATTTTGATGTCAAAATGTTATGCAGAGTACTACAATATCCGATCTGTAATGCAATGACGTGGTATCCAGAAGGTAATTTTGCAACAAATATATTGTTAGTATCATTTGCAATACATGACATGCCATTAACTGACAACGACAGACAGAAAACAGTTTGTGCTGACCCCGTTGGTCAAGTGCATGTCCTTTTCCACTTCAGGAGACCCGGCCACTTCACCAAAAGTGATCCTGCTCTCTTTGCTGCGAAACGGAGGGGTGATGGAGCGCCCCGGAGACACAGAGGGAGTGGCCATGGGAGTGGGCCTCTGGCTACTGCGAAGGATGGACTGAGGGGTGAATGCTGAGAAGACTGCGCCGGAAGCAGCCAGGGCGCGAGCGCGCTGATGTGACAAGAATATATGTTTAAATTGGACGGAAAATTCACCAAATTAGATTTGTTTGAAAGGTGACAAGGGATCAACATTTGGTCTCACCTTCACAATCAGTGGAGTTTGCAGGAGGTTAAATTCTGGGGCCTTAGTTGTGCTTTTTAAAATGGCCCAAGAAGGTCTGGCAGGACTGAGGAGTGGTCGAGGGGTGTGAGAGGAGGGATGAACCACCAAGTCGCTTAGCCTATGTTAAATGAGGGAGAAGTAAGAATCAAATTGTGAACAGTGAATACACCTTTGCGATTTTTGACAGTTATCACATTGAAGGAACTAAACAGACTAGTTCCAAAATTTTTTTTGAATTTTATGACCTCTTGAAGTGGATGATATGGGATGGATCAACTTTAAACAGCATCTTTAAGACAAAATACCAAGCAGGTAACACAGCATTGAAGAAAGCAAACTAACAACAGCTACAAAATGAAACTGATGTATCTCGGTGGTTCAACACAATTGCATTTTGCTAGCTAAACACAAATATATTTAGTTGATTCAAGCATAACTCAAAGTTACCCACCATTACATTATCTATACATTGATCAAATTTAGGTCCAAGATTTCTAAAGCAACTCGAGAAATGTTTCCTGAGTGTGTTGCATTTTTAAGACCTTTGTACAGCGGATTTAACACTGAAGTATCACTTGAAGGAAAATGAAAGGCGTTCATGTTGGAACAACAAATTCAGGACTTTTGAAGGATCAATGGATGGACAAAACAGTCAGTCTGCTATTGATAAAACAATGCTTTACTGTGGCTTTTATGAAGTACCTTGACTTTCGTTTAGAGCTCATAGTTAACGGGGTTCCCAAGAATGGTTCCGGTTGGGCTTGAGTTGCAGGCTTAGGTGGTGGACTCAGGAATCCAGGAGTTCTTGGACTGAAAGGCAGAATTTGAAATAAGTACGTCAACAATTAAAAAATGCTTTCATTCGTTTGCTGTTCGCTTACCAGTTAGCAGGGGAGGACAGAGGTGTCTCTCCTTTGCCCATCCACACCTCCTCAATCTTATTCAAGACACTGTTGATAAAGCCCGCCCTAGACATCACTTTCTCATTCGCGGAACGCTTGCTGATTGTTGACAGTGGCTGTGGACGAGTCACTAGAACACAATGGGGAATTTTAATTAGATATGCAATTGTGCAAAGATGTATCTGAAGGCTTTCAATGATGTCATGCCCACATTACCTTCTTTGTGGATGGTGGTGGGATGTTGGTAGGGTTTGGCTCTCTCCATCGCCAATTTTCTCTGAACTCTGGGCAGAATTTTGCCATACTGCTCCAGTATGGAGTTGCGGGTGTCTGATCGCTCTTTCAGCTTTGGGTCTCGCTCATTCTAACAAGAAAACAAAACAGGCATATGGTTTCAACACTATGGGAATCAAGCAGCTCATTTTTACACTTGCACGACTGTTAATAGAATGTCAAAATGTGCTTGAAATCATTATCGATACAGTTAAAAGATAATGGGAACAGTTGACACGGAAGCTGATTACATTAATTCACAATTTGAGCGACTTTCATTTCCCACTGTACTCAAGAGGCTGTGTGTCATACCACGAGGTGCATTTTAAGGCTGTGGTTGAGTTGCAGCGCAGGTATGTAGTTGGATTGCTGAAGGTAATGAACCATCAGTATTTCCCTGTTTTGAAGACCGCCTGTTCCTTGAAGAAACTTCTCCAAAGTTTCCTAAAAACATAAACGAAGAACCAATGATAAACTAGAAAGATCACAATCTTTACAGAGCATCTTGAAACAGCTGATGATAGAGAGTTGCTGCATGAGCCAAAAATGACCTGCTCAGTGGGGCCGAGGGGCAGTTTGAGCAGCTCTTTGATGAGACCCAGCTCCTGGCAGGTCTCGTACAGGAAGCCAAGCAGCTCGGCCCTGTTGAGATGATTCGAGTGCTGACGTAGCAATGACCACGCCTCAGTGAGACACCTGGGAAGTGGGGGGGAACACGGGGGTAATTATCGAAGCTATATAAATACTTGAGAAACCCAACAGTGGACCAGTGGAACTTCAACACAAGAAATCAGATGACAGCTGTACCTGTTGTGTAGCAGTACAGCCAGGCAGAGTCTGGCCTGCGAGATGGAGGAAATGGAGGGCTTCGTGACATGAAAGTAGCGGAGCGCCACTGAATGTTGGCCCTGACACATGAACGCTTGCAGGACGCGCTCATGTTGCCACTCAAAGTGACACTGAGAGGCGGCCGGATTCAGAAGCAGTTCAAATGAACTCTGATCGGGAGAGGCAGGGCATTGGGAAAACAGGTTAGCTTGTAGCTGGCAGTCCACTTCTTTTTCTTAAAATATTTGTGTGTGCAGACCTGGTGGTCACGGTGGTCCAGCAGCCAGAAGCCTTGCACCAGTTTAACCAATCCAATAGGGATGTCAAAAGCTGTGGGAAAAGACTCCACTGACGCTCCCTCCTTAGTGGGGAAGGAATACATGACATCCAGCAATAAGTAGATTACCTAAGAAAATGTCAAGGCTAATCACACACAGCTCGGATTGGGACAGACTTGAGAAAATAAAAAGCCGTATGAATACAAACAAAATGAGAAAAACCCAGAAGAGTAAGGCCAATTTGAGTTTGAAGGATACAATTGCATGTTTTGCAGCCTCATCAACACTGTCCAGAAGATAAATATCCAGCAAAGCCTGCCGATGAGAAATTCATAATCAATCAGCTGTGTGTGTTTTGCATCACGTGACGTTTAGAATAAGGTACACTTGAGCGTACATGAAGGGTAGGCGGTGGGTACTGTCCTGTTCCACCTTCATCCCTCCTCCACAGATTGGCCAAATGTTCTCCACATTGGCCAACCAAACTGTCAATCATCAGGCAGTCAGCACACCACTTTCCCCTGTGACAATAGTGGATGTATTACATTGCTGCAATGCAGTTAGAAAATAATAATAATAATAATACTTTCAAAAGAGTACTCACTTGGCCAGAGACGTGAGCTCCTCCCTGCGAATAGAGTAATAGTTGCTAATGACTGAGTGACTGTAGAAAGGCCTGGAGATCTGCACGGCATCAACATCTATAGAGAAGACGCCAGTTACAACTCGTACAACGCAGACACATCACGACAAATTTTGAAAAAGGCGCTTCCCAAACATGTTTACCTGATCCTTCAGGCAGCAGGCCAGTGCGACAGAACCAGAGGACCACTTGAGCGTACTTGGAAATCAGACCAGACGCCACATTCTTGTTGATCAGACCTATAAGACCTGCACAAACCAATCAAGAGCAACCACGATTAAAAACAACCAATCATCGTATCTGTAAATATGGAACAAACAGAGGCGAAGATGAGAAAACTTAACTGGCATTCCTGTAATTCGGTAATCATCAGCACAATATACAACTTGGAATACATGCTTGTAGATAATTTGGAATTTCTCATGCAGTTCATCAAAATCATTATTGTTAGCCAAAACATAGCGAGGGTAACACTATTTTCGAGCTATTGTCTACAATGGGTTGCGTTGTGTACCCTTTGGCGGACAAGTACTGCGAAAGCATTGTGTTGCAGTGTGGTGAAAGGAGTGCATCACCTTTCTGCGTGAGCTCCTGAGCTTCGGTGAGCAGACAGTGGAAGATGGTGCTGAGGTTCTCCAGAAGTCTCTGGCTGTGCTGCAGCAGCTGCATGGTCTGAGGATCTGTGAAGTTGGACGAGCTGTCGAATAGAGGTGCACCTTGGAAACAAACACAAAAGAAAGTGACAACTGCATGGTTCATTTGTGTTTCCCTTTAGTTTTAATTTCTGCATTTTTCATCATGCGGCTCTATTGCAAATGAGAATGGCAAGGAACATACAAATGCTATCCAATTCCTCCTTGGTCTTGGTCACTTTCTTCCAGGCCCAATCCAAGATATAGCGAAGGTTTAGCGCAGAGCCTGGTTGTTCTGATGGGATGTCATTAAAAATAAGTTTTGAAGTTGAGTCAAATTGTACCAAACAGAAACAATGTTTCTCGAGACAGCCTCTCACCCTCTGCAGTCCACTGCTTGATACAACCAGTGATCAGTCCCAAAGTGCTGGTCTCGACTGCAGTCGACAGGATGGCGTCTAGCTGCTCCTCCTATCAGCAGTTTATAAACGTTGCAGTGATTTAATATCAAATGTAAAACCACAAAAACTGTTTGACTCTGTCATAAACTCAAGGCTCAGATCTTGAGAGATTGAAGTTAGAAAAATGGCGTAGACACCATTAGAATGCACATCAATGACACGTTCAGAAAAAAAACTACAGCATGTCATGTGGATGTATTTACCTGAGAGAGATTGGAAGAATGGGCATCAGCAAGGCGAGATGGCAGAAGGCCTGACATGAGACACCGCGAGTAGCTGCTGGAGATGACGTCACTGGAACACGGAGCAGCTTTCTTCAAAAAGTTCAAAGTCTGGCGATTGAGAAGGCATGCAATCAAAACATTCGTTTTTCATTGAAATAATTATATGTAATGTGAGAGAAGCGAAACGTCCTTTTTTGCTTTTTTTTTTGTTTTTTTTTTTGTTTTTTTGTTTTTTACCCACAGGTACAGATGACGACTGACAGAACCCTTTCTACGATTGAAATTTCCTGTACGACTGAGAGCCTTCACAAGCATTCATCTGATATTCCAAAATACACTCTTTGTACCTATTAGCTATATCTATAGAGATAATACTGTCTATCTCTATATTATTGTGCTAATCTAACAAGAATATTAAATATAGAAAGACATTTTTACTTGTAAAATTTTACCCCTTAAATGCAAGACTCCAAAGGAAATACCATCAACAGTGATACAGATATCAGTAAAATCAGAAAACAGGTAGAATATTACTTTTCAGAGTCTAATTATGCAAAAGATAATTTTTTGTTGGAGGTGGCATCGAAGAATGATGGATTGGTACCAATAGAAACTCTTCTAACCTTTAACTCATTCAGTACCAACCAATTCTAGACCAAGTCTGAAAAGACGTTTAAAAACGTCTTTGGGAGTGAATGAGTTAATAAACTTAAGGCATTGACTAATGATGTAGAAAGTATAAAAAAAACAATGAAAGATTCTCGTATTGTAGAAATTAAGGGGGATGCATTCGGTCAGATTGAGACAGAGGAGTATAAAGAATACTTGAATGATAAGAATATCGATAAAAGAACGTTGGTAATTTCTGAGTCTCCTAGGGAATTAGAACTAGAAAAGATTGAAGAATTTTTAATAAAGTTTTCTAATCCAATCAGAATTCTTATGAAGAGAGACAAAAAGAAATTGGAGGAGGCACAAAATATGTAATGTGAGAGAAGCGAAACGTCCTTTTTTGCTTTTTTTTTTGTTTTTTTTTTTGTTTTTTTGTTTTTTACCCACAGGTACAGATGACGACTGACAGAACCCTTTCTACGATTGAAATAATTAGAGAGAAAAAAAATTGGTGGCAAGATAATACAATTGCTGGGAATTTCACTTCACCAAATATACTTCTGCTTCCTCGCACCCTCGAAAACACGTGCATATTAGACTATTGAGAACTCTACTCTGACCGTGGGTGTGAATGTGAGTGGCTGTTTGTCCATATGTGCCTAGTGATTGACAGGCAAACAATCCAGGGTTTATTTACACTTCTTGTGCTAACGCTGAGATGACCTCAAGATCACCTGAGGTGTGTTATGAAAATTGGAAGGACAAATAAACACAGTCATAGAAAGAATGGGTCACAAACTTGTTTCTGATGTCCAGAGCAGGTTGAATGGACAATTCCAGAGTTGAATAAACAGGTAGCATCTGTAACGAAAAAAAACAAAACAGTAAAATGATTTAATTTTACGACATAGACATATTATAATAAATGAATTCCTGTGCAAACAGAGAAACAAAAAACTTAGGGAGAACAGTAGCAGACTTGCCAAAGTTGTATGTGGTTGGGTTAAAGTACTGTTCCGGTGGGGGGAAAGTCAAAGGCAGACCCCTGCTGAGACTGTGATCCTGTACAACTACATCCAGTAAGACGTTCTGAGGAGCCATTTGCGTCACTGGGTCCAAACACCAAACGGCAAGGTAAGCACAGTTCTGCAGAGACTCGCCCATTCTGGAAACAAAAACAAAAAAACGCAACTGAAGTGCAATGTCACAGTGAATTGATAAATCTTGCTGACAATAATCGAGAATATTCTATGACAATGAACACTTCATTAGGAGTACCTTAAATTAAGAATATTCATCATTCTGAGAAGTGTTAAATGTGAGTCATTTTTTAGCTATTCGAAAGTGATTACATTTTGACAAGACGTGTTTTTGACATCGCCTTTTGAATGGATGGTTCTGATCGCACTGCAACACATACGCCATAACAACAGACCAAAACACAGCACTGCTGTGACTAACTTAATACGGGTGAAGTAAGAATTCGCACAAGCTCCACTGTACCTGAATGAGTCTGGCATCTGTGCATGGTACCAGCGGTTGATGTCAAAAATGCCAATGTAGGTAGAAGGCATTCCTTGCCCGTAGGCCTTGACTTGCCAGCTAAAGATGGACACACTGGTGTCTGGAGATGCAACTGAAAGACAAGAGCAGGAGATTGTCAAGTTGTGACAATGAAAGAAGCCAAGTAAAAATAAATAAATAAAACAAAAAAGTCATTTATTAACTAATGTATAGAAAGACATCTCTTAAAGGAAAATCTGAACGGTTTGTGCTCTTACGTTTGCATGATTATGCCCGCAAAACAAAAAAACAAGAGCCATAAACACATGTTTGGGTAATATCACTGAGGAACAACTGCAGAGCCTTCTGAGCTCAAAAACAAGAATTCCCATAAACACACACTACAAAATCTTGAAGACCGGGAAGCTAAGTTGGGAGGACCAACTCCCTATTTATAAATGGTCTAGTTGTGGAGGAATGACCAAGTGTTTCAACACTTCTGTCACTATTATGTGACCAATCTGACCTTCAGTCATGCTGTCGTCCCTGTCTGGATGGGGTCGGAATTTCTCGATGGTCTGGCAGTTCAGCAAGCGGGTGTTGGTGTTCTGGGCTCTGAGAGGAAAAGCTGCACCACTCAACTCTTGACTGTAACGCTCCTCACAGTACTCAAGACCCTGACCAGCATAATGACAGGTTAGGAGGGAGGCGTGGAAGAGCACTTTTCTGAGAGAAAAATCGTCATATTCTTCACACCTCATAGAGGATCTTCCCTGAGGCCAGACATTTACGCTCACTGAAAGCCATCTGTAGCAGGTGGAGACTGACCGTATCGCCTTCTCTGTGTGGGTGTAAAGTAAGTGAGAAGTGAGACTGGGTGGATTTGCTTTAAAAAAAAAAAAAATTGTCTTGTAAACTTACTGATCCTGAGAAGATTGGACAGCCCAGAGGTAGCAGCAGTTTCTGGGGTCATTTTCTGGCTCCTGGAAGGTGAAGGCGTGAACGGGCACTCTGCCACCATCCAACTGGCAGTGGTATCTACATGTGCAACAAGGGTTTCGTATTGCACACATATACAGGTTCAAAAATAAATAAATCAAAGCAACTGCAACAGGTGGCGCTAGAAGTCTAAGTGAAATTTAATTCATCATTTCACCCGGAAAGAAGTAAATTCTAGAACAGGAAACATTTTTTATGATACTGTGATGGATTTTGAGAGCATGTGGAACACATTCAGTGACTATTGAAAAAGGCATATTTTGAGAAACAGTGGAAAGCCTCACTCTTTTCTGAGAGACTTCAAGTTCCATAGCTGTAAGTAGCCATCAGAGAAACCCACGGCCAGCTGGTTTGTTCTGGGGATGTACTGCAGGGCTGTGGCTGATACACCACTTGGCCCATTGAGCTGGAGGGAAAGGTGTCTGCCCTCTCTGCTGCTCACTTCTCGAAGCCTGGGAATCTCTCTCAGAGTTTTGGTCACTACTTGCAAGCCTGTGAAATCCAAAAGGAGGGACAGGCTAAGAATGAGAGATTACACAGGGGGAACTTGCATCCCTCGACATGGATGCTGCTCACCTGAAGCCTTCAGCTCGCTCTGGCTGCAAGACAGGTCGTCCAGACAGAGGTCCACGAGCAGCACATGGCCTACATCCGTGACTACAGCGGCGATGCCAAAGAACCAGCGAAGACACTGGTGGAGATGCTGGGTGGAAGTGCTTGCCCCACCATAGCTCACTAAGGGCTCAATGGCTGTAATCTACAGTCAAGCAAAGACACAACCAGAAAATATTTTCATGTAAAATCTGCTTTTTTTTAATGCAACTTAGATTTTGGTAGGATGTCTTCCAGTGCAGAGCAGAGGAGGCTCACCCTGCCTGGTATAACCACAGCCTTGGTCACTCTGGACAGCCCCAAGTCATAGAGACACAACACACTGCCTTCGGTTTCTTCCAAGCCCACCAGCAAGCCAGACCTATGATGCATGATACAAAATCTGACATTATTAAAATGCAATTTCCAGTTCAGTAGATGATATAGTGAACCCAACGAGCCCGGACAGAAATAGCTAAACCGCTGAGCCATGCTGCCCAATGAGAAGAAAGGGACACAGTCTGCGCTCTGACCTTTTGAGCCAGCTGAAGTCCCTTGCGGTGAGGATGCTGGGTGGGTGCTCCCCTCCACCACTAAAGCAGTACGCAGACATACGTTCTCCGGTCAATGCGTGGACGAACTCAAGATGGGGGCCGCAGGCAAGCCAAGCATGCCCTGTACGGCCTTCAAGCACACGGGAAACAAGAAGCTTTTTGTCAGTCAACATTTTTTTTTTCATGCAACCATATATTCTTTTGAGAGAAAGGCACTCACCAACAGTAAACCTGCCGTGAAGCACAGAGTCCAGCGTGATCTCATCCTCTCCTACAGCCTCGAGAGTCACCGCAGGAAAAGGCAGCAGGCTGCTGGTGACTTGTGCTGTCAACTCATGCATGGCTCACTGCAGGAACAATGTAGGATATGTGTTAAAAGATATCATATTTATTTTTTTCTCCAGTCTTTACACAGCTTTATTACTATATTGCAATGTTCCCAAAATATCAGCGTAAAAGACCAAAATTAGCCATGATCTCCCTCAGAGACTCAAACTTAATGCATCATGTATTGTCATAACAGCCAAATACACTGTACATAAACTAACAACTAGCAGTAAGCATGTGCCTGCTAAATAAAATAGTTTGAAACATTTTACGCTTATGATCAGCAAGACTATAAAGATGGACTTGCGGCTTGGGTTTGTGAAATCTAGTTGTAAAAATTCTCTTTTTAGTTATGTTCTACCTCAAGATTTGTAAAATGAGAAGCTGTGATGGATCTCAGTTCCACAGTACAAAAAGGCTGTCTTAAAAGCACAGCTGTGGTCCAGCTGTCAGCAAAATCCCCAAAGGGGTGAGGTGGGGTGCACTGTGATCAACAACAAATGACATTGACACATACGTTTGTGTCAACAGTAGCTTGTGTCAGTGCAATTTAAAAATAAACGTGAGACTGCTTTTTCAGGCAGTGACAAATGATCTTTTATTTCTTAGGCCTATGCAAAACCTATTTTACCATTTCCCATGGAATTTCATGCAGGTGCGGCAAGTACAATATATCTATCTGTTCGATTGAAATTTATCTTCATCTAACACACATAAGATATGTTTGTTAGCAACGATGAAAAACAACAAAAACAAATAAAAGCATAATATAACGAGGCAGGGTGTCCTCGGTTTATGATTTAGTTCCATTCCTCGGCCTGCAAGGTAACCCAGGTTTGTACAGAAGTTGTAATATGCGGTAGTCGACCACTAACCTATGCTAAAGCAGTCACAATCATAGTAATATTTGCATTTAACCCACTTTTACGCGACGAAAACATAAACAAAGCCAGTAATTTACAGTGGCAGTCTTGCACCGATGCACAAACTACTTAATAGCGAGGGTATGCTGTACAGAAAGGACTCCTAACCACATGAGTTTTGAGAAACGATCCAAAATTTTTTTTAGAAGTGGTGCGTGGTGTAAACTAAAGTTTGTCAAAGCTACGCGCAAAATGAAATGGTGCCCCTTAGCGGGCGCATGGAAAGTAACATCAGGCATTCAAGCGGACTCCCGCGCAACGAGGCTGGCGGTCAGTAGCGCACAGCCCACGTTAGTGAGGGAAGCATGAAACACACCTTTAGCCATTTACAGCCACACAGAATAACATTCATATTCAAAAGGGCAGTTGAGATGAATATACCAGCTACCATAGCTTTCCGTCACATTATATAAGAATTATGACTAGGCAGAACAAATTACTCCCGAGTGGGCAAGACTCACGGCAAAAGATGTCACGTCACTTGAAATGTTAGCTTTGCGGCTAGCAAGGCAGAGCACCAATTAGCATCAGCAGTTGTTAGCATAGAGCATTAGCCTAGCTGGCATGATGTAAACAAACAGTGTTCCCCGGTCTCTCCGTACATGTTTAACGCGAGGTAACGCCGCTTGTTACTTGGTTATTCAATACGCAACAAGTCACTTTACATTCACTGTGGCGAAGATAACAGGCTACAAGGTCACGAATGATAGCGTTGAACTAAAACGACTAAAAAGCACGAGCGAACTACAGGGAGTCCGTGGTATGGTCGAATATTATTTGTACAGTATTGGGCGTTTTAATAAGATTTGGTGCAGTCTGGTTGGATAGTAAGTAAATGTGCAACTTTGATCACGCGTGTTCGTGTAAAATATGTCCGTTTTTTTTTTACATCAGCTGGTAAATCACTGCCAGATGTAACGCTCATTTTAATTTATTGACTGCTTGCTAAACGAAGCTTGCTAGAATCGCATGAAATGATTTGACCGGTTTTCACCATCTCCAATGAAACGGCGAAGAGGTTGTATGTAACCACGAGCATGGATCTTAGCTAGTAGCTGCATTGCAGTAGAGTTTCACGTTATCGGCGACCAGTCATTTTTTTCCACGTTGAATTTGCATAGAAGGTAAGAACAAGCAGGTTAAAGAAGCTAGGCTCATTTAGCTAACTGCTCGATAGCAGGGTAAAACGTGATGCAATGTGCCGCCCGCTAGCCGCTACAGCCGTTGTCATTACGTTACCTTGCCTCCTTTGGTCGGCTTTTATCGGGACCCACGAGCTTTCGTTACCCTTGGCGAATGTGCCGATTGTTGGCCGTCATAATCAGCACGGGACGAATGTTGCTCTCAAGTCACTTGGCGCTACTGACAGATGACAAGTCTAAAAAGCTTCGGAGAAACTTCAAGCTTCGGCATCGTCTTGTGCCATTCCACTGTTGCAGAGGGGAGAGGCGTTAATCATTTATTCACTGGCTTTTTTTAGTCAATGTAGACGTAGACATGCTCACTAACACGCTCTTTTGGTTGGCGGGTGTATTACAGGGGGGAACGCTGAAATTTTAGCCAAGGTTCACAGAAAGCTGCAGTCGACCTACTATTAATTATGGCGAGAATACACATGTCAAATTCTTTATACACACGCACACACACACACACACACACACTACAAAGGGCAGCCCGGTGATCCAGTGTTTAGCGCGTCGACCTCACAGTGCAGAGGTACCGGGTCGATTCCAGCTGCGGCCTTCCTGTGTGGATTTTGCATGTTCTCCCCGTGCCTGCATGGGTTTTCTCCGGCTACTCCGGTTTCCCCACACATTCCAAAAACATGCACGGCAGGCTGATTGAACACTCAAAATTGTCCCTATGTGTGAGTGTAAGCGCGGATGGTTGTTGGTCTCTGTGTGCCCTGCGATTGGCTGGCAATCGGTTCGGGGGTCCCCCGCCAACTGCCAGACGACGGCTAGGATAGGCTCCCCCCCCCCCCCCCCTTGTGAGGATAAAGCGGATCGGAAGATGGATATTTAAACACAATTTTCTAGTGGTCCGCATAAAATGGTGTCGTTGGGACAGATCCTTACGCCTAGATTTGGACACCAGTATTGCTGACTAGAGTATCCTGACAGCACCTAAGAATTAGACTATTAGACTTCTAATTCTCCAAATCTGAATCTTTTGAACAATTGTATCTTAGTAAGTAAATTTGTTGGAAGAATTGGGTCAAGACCCTTTTGAGCCAAGAGACTCTCTCAGGTCCAACATCAGTAATGGTTCTGAGACACACTGACAGAACATCTCTTTTTCTATTGTCACTTTTTGTGGGTGCAGTGATAATGTGATTTCTGTGCGGCCTGGAAGTGCACAACAATATAGACGGTAGAGCTCAGAAATTAGGGAGTGAGTCCCACTTTTGCTTGCTACAAAACAAGGATGGCAGCAGGAAATTTGGATTACTCATTCAGAACATTTTGCTGAAAAATACTTTTTTTTTAGGAACATAACAACAAAGTGTAATGGCATGTCTGTTGAGCCATTAACCTTGCATCATCCAAGAGAGCAAGTCATTGTCAACACTTTAGATTGGTCAGCAATTTGTCAACACACAAACAGGGAATGACCAATAGTACGGATTTGTTGGGTGAATTTTGACATAGCGTTTGGCCCTAAAATCATTTGTACTGTCACTGACATTAAACAACAATCTCTCTGTTCATGCTCATTCCAAACATGTTTGATGCTGCAGATGTTAAGGTTTTCTCAAATTTGTCCAGAGAGCAATTCTTAAACAACCCCCCCGGGAGGTACAATTAAAGTACAAGTTCAAACACCATTCAGGGTAAATGTCACGCTTTTATTGAGCAGTCCTGGAGACGTTAGGTGTAAATGTAAAACAAAGCAATGATTAAGTCAACTGTACAAACAAAATTATTAAGTATTGAATATTTCAGTATTGTTCATGAGGATGAGCATAGTGCATGATAGGTTATAGGCTTTGGCTGTGCCTGTTAGCTGTGACAAATTTTACACTTGCAGTGAGAGGTTCCTCATGCCGGACCATTTTAAGACTGCCTTCAGAAGGATTAGTAAAACAGATTTAAGATAGTCTATAGGAATGTTGATTCAATTTGATTACATCCACTCAGACATCTGTTGGAATTGAAACAAAGCATTGTGTTCAGCTGCTAGGATTTTCTCATACAGAGCCGCTCAATCATCAACTCATAGTCTTGTATTTCCCTACAATGAGAGAAGAAAACAAATTAGTCAGAATCAGAACTTTTTTCCTCCCCCTTCAAATGTGTATGTAATCTTTACCTGTTACTTAAACAACGTCCTTTCAGGTATTTTTCTTCTGCCTTCTTTATAGAGATATTGTTCATCCCAGCAATGGCGTATGTGATAGCCTGTAAAAAATTTTTTTTTTATGTATTTCAACAAATATTCAAATTACTAATAGGCCACAGCAGTATGACATACCTCGGGAAGGAGCACATCCAAAACAAATGGGATGCGCTCCATGTATTGAGCCGCAGGCTTGCCTGGCAGCATGGGCACAGCAGTTTCGTAGAGCTCGGTGAGATAACAGTACATTTTGTCTAACTGCGTGTTATCTTCCAGGTAAGTCTCCACTCCAAAAAATCTCTTGTCAGATCTCTGGAAGTAGTGGAGCCACCTCGATTGCACCTGACCTCGGATCACAGCCTGAGGGAGCGTGGAAACAGTGTTCAAGTGTTAGCTACCTCTGCCAAGTACTAATCGCAGTTTCTAAGCAAGATTACAAAAACACCCCCATTTTAAAAACATTACGTATGTCGCTTATATCGAACAGGGAAAAAAAAAATACAGCAGGGTTGCTAACAGTGAACCATGATTGAGGAAGGTAAAAAAAATTAAAATAAAAGCTCTCCAAGGTTTTGTTACAGATCCAAACTCAAATTATACCAGCAGGCGTCCTTCCACCATGCGCTGTTTGATTATAAAGTGCACAAGCTTTTCGTTGGCACGGTTATGTGCAGCTTGGGTCCGGTCTGGCAGCAGCCGTTTGGCACACTTGTTGACCTCCTCCTGCTGCTCTTCACAATCTTCTTTGGGATTCTCCCACTGACCCTCTTCCTCCATCAGCGAATCACCAGCGATGGCGAGTTGCTTCGAGGAGCCCAGCGGGTACTTGCTCCTCACTGGATTACCTGAACGAGGGCAAAGACTCATCAGGACCATAGCGAAAGGAATACTTACATTCACCAGGCATGAAGTACACCTGCACAATGGAATGAGTTCCATTGTAAGAGCTGTAACGAAAAGTCTAGATGTGTTTTTTTTTTTTTTTTGGCATAATCATGTTCCTCTCACACAACATGTAGCCTGTGAAATTAGAGGAACCTCATGCATGTCAAACATAATTAAAAAAAAAAAAATCCATCCACTTTCAAATCCGCTTATCCTCAACAAGGGTCATGGGCATGCTGGAGTCTATCCTTGCTGAAAATAACATTTTAAAAAGGCTTCCAACCGTTTTAGTGCCACTACCAGTTATAGTTTGCTGTCAAAGTAAACATAACACGGTAATTTTGCATTGTCTATTTAATAAGACAACCACATAACTTTGCCTTTAAGTCTGTGTCAGAGATGTTCGCTCGGACAATTCAACAGACTCAGGAAGAGATTGTTTTAAAAATTAAGCAGCAAACCCACGTGCTTTAATCCATCACAAGGGGTGGCCATTTTGCCAATTGCTGGCGACTGGAAATACCTGAAAATTTAAAACTAATGACCAATCATGGCTGACCCGTTTTCTGGGTTTGGTCATATGATGTCTGCAAGCTAAACCCTTTGGCACTGCGATGTCATTTTCACTCGACAGCAAGTATTAAGAAATAAGAATAATAAAAAATTGGCTGCCCTGCGAGATGTGTAAAATGCGTGGATTTTGCTGTTTAATTCTACAAAAGTAATATTCATCAGAATAATGCGTTTGGACTAGTGGGGGCTGCATAGACCATAATTCTATCAAGAAAATTGTTGACTCAATTTCCCTTTTAATGCCAACACACACTGGGGAAACGTCACAGTCAGGCAAATTATCAGCGTCTATGTGGCGCTATTTTAATATTTTAAGCAAAAGACATTTGAACACAATGGGTACAGGAAATGTAATTTGGGTTTTGCCTCTGATAGATCTCGTCTATCATGAAGGGTCAGTGAGTGTAGGTTTCCAGTAAATTATTTACCACACAAGTGTGTGTGTGTGTGTGTGTGTGTGTGTGTGTACTCACTAATGCCATGATCAAAGTACTCGAGGAAGGAACCACAAAATGAGCCACAAGCTACAAAGAGGCAAAAAAGAAGAGGTATTCATCTATGGAAATTTTGATGACAAACAAACTGCAAAATAGAAACAGTTACCTATGCGTATTCGATAGTCGGTTATCAGCTCCAGGGACCACTTCATCGTAGTGGCCCATTCTTCTTTGGCTTCAGCCTATGACGCAGTTTGCATTAGAAACATTTGTCACCAGTGTGGATGTAAATCATGTGTATTACAGTACAGTGTTATTTTCCTACCGCCAGCTCATTAGCTCCTTCACAGTCAAACGGCTTCAGGGATTTCAGAGCCACAATAACCCTTGTACAACATGACATGACATATTAGGCTTCTGACACACAATGAGAGTAACCAAAAAAGATAGTAGTAGTAGTAGTAGTAGTAGGTAACTTCTACCCCCGTTTTTGTCGACTTATCTGATCATCAATGAAAATAATGCTGGCCTTTTTTGCCTTACGATTTACTTGCTTGACCTGTAGGGGAAAAAAACAACAACTATCAGTCAGGAACTTCCTTTCGCTCCAGCAGATGGTTGACGCACTTTTTGAACAGTACATTTATTCTACTTTGAACTTTTGGTCAGGTTCTTGACTGGCTGGCCAAGTTATCGAATCACAGTAGAAATGACTTTTGCATGTAGAAGTGGTCAGAAAGACGACCGGTTCAGTATCTGCACTATTACAGCAAAATGAAAACGAAAACTAACCCAGATAACGACAACGCTAACGTAGTAGCTAATTGAAGTAGGATAAAATGCACATGCGCTTGCATTACGTACACAATCGAATAACATCTAATATAAAAGAAGACATTGGATACAGCCCTTATTCATTAAATTGTGCAGGTTTATATATTTGACCAATTTTTTTAAACCCAATATTTGGAATGGGATGATAGAATCTTTCTCTGAATGTTCTCAACTCTTGTTTCAAGGAGTATTTTGAGCCATAGCTTATGCCATGTCGTTTTTTTTTAAGTTACAATGAAATCAATGACACCTCTGCTTTTTTTTTCAAGATGCAATGAATGAATATCTTCCATGACAGAATTCTATGAAGTGGCTATTATCAATTATTCTGATGATGCCATGACATTCCCCGTTGAAATATCAACCTAAAGAGCAACCTGACTTTCGCACTTGGGGTGGATGCGGACACGCCGACTTGTAAGGTATGAATAGGCCCTTAAGGAGAACCGTGACAAATAAATGAGCCACATGCATATTTCTGCACTCACCAACGCCGGCCATGTCGGAAAGCGTCTAAATTTGCACCACACAAAAACTCCCTCTGTGATAGACAGTGGTCCTGGAAGACATTAAATTCTCAAGGTAAACAATGCAGTTATTTATGGTGCATACAGTCACACAAATCTTACTCGTCTGCATCAAGAAGCTTGGCAGCTCCTCTTCATCAACACTCTCCTCATCCTCCGGGAAAGAAAGAAGAGGCATCTGTTCTGTGTGGTCACTTAACTCAGTTGACAGATCTGATAACAGCAAAGACTCATCTTGTTGAAGGTTGAGAAGATGATGGGGAAAAGATAGAAGCACACCAAATGATAAAGTTAGCATTAATTATCTTTATGGAAACAGCATAAAGGATGAGTTGATGACCTCATTCATCCGAGGCCTAATTCTGTGAACATCAATATTGCGATAGGTACCTTCCTTTAGTTCGAATCTTGGTCGTGAGGGTTCAGATGATGAAGGAGAGATAGCCCTATTTTTCAGGTTCTTAAAACAGCGGCGTTTAGCTGGAGAAGAAGTGGTTTCCGTCACTGGTAGTTTATTTCTAAGTCGTCTGGGTCGGGCAGCCTCGATGCTCCGCTTCTTGTTCTGAGACCTTGGCGTGTCGCATGGTGACTCAACCTCTGATTTCTGTGGCACAATAGATGTTGCGAAAAATAATGTTCAGGGTTATTTCAACATTTCCAATGTCCCTTTCCTTGCTGAGGTTCAGAAGTTTCAGACTTAATGCATTCGCCAGGGCATGGCGCCTTCTGCCCTCAGTTGCCAAAGAAGCAGAAAATTAAGTAGGGTATTACAAATACTTCATCAAATCCTATTTGTTAACCAATTATTGTTGTTTGGCACCATTTAGTGATTTAAAAAAAATAGAAAGATTGATGTACTCACTCAGCAACCTTTCAAAAACTTATTCAGTCTGCTTTCATGAACAACTAAAAAAAAAATCAGAGAACAATTACCGGTAATGCCGAGACTCTAATCAGAGGATTTGGACAATTTTAACAGTGGCTCTAAAATAGTTGTCAATTACCATGATAATCGATTAATTTTAACACCTCCAAAAGTAACTATGACTAGTATAAAATGATTCGTTATTGGACTTGGGAATTGTTTAGCAACAGAAACTTGAGTGGAGCTACATAGTTACACTAACAGCTAAAAAAAAAAAAAAAAAAAAGTTTTAAGTATTGTCACTTATTACCGATTGCTTTTCTTTTGGTAGGTTAGTGTATATTTTTCATGGAAAGCAGTATATTACCGGTACATAAAATGATCCGTGTACAAAGAGTACTGCTCACAAATGTAGAAGACTGTTTATCCACGCCGTTTGGAATGCCAATGTAGTGCTAAAAGATTAGCGTACAGAATTATCATACACTGGAGAGTGGTCAAATTTATATAGCATCATGAACATGTATTACGAAATACCTGATCCTTCCCATCCTCTTCTTCAGAGTGCGTGTCACAAATGTTGGGCAGTCGTTCGGTGGACAAGCGACGCAAAGGTGTGGATGTACGGAAGGCTTCCGGTGTTTTTCTTGGCCGTCCCCTGCATTTTTTGGGGGTGCATCCGAAGGAACACACAGTGGCCAGACTGTCGGTGTGGAATGCTTCTTGTGTTTTTCTTGGCCCTCTCGTGCATCTTTTTGGGGTGCTTTGTAAAGAACATAAAGTGGACTGACTGTCGGTGTAGACATCACTGCCTGACACAGGACTCGCTTCTTCTGCGGCCTGGGGGGAAATAGGGCAAGGGTTCCGTTTTTGTCTTGATGTCATAGTCGCTTTCTTTTTTTGTATTTTCCTTGGTCGACCTGAAATATCACAACACAACAAGTCGTATGAGCAGATATTCGATGGATGCGATTAACGGTTTGCACGAGGCATTCACGAAGGGCTATTAATAATTATGACAAAAACAACAATAACAACAACAACTAAAAGACAAGATGACAGGGTTACCTCTCATTGTTGTTAAACGATGGGAAAAAAACTTCAAGCAAGTCGGGCGATAACTGTCACTTGTTGAACCCTAAAACATACAGGGGGAAATCACTGTTATAGAACAACGGTAAACTTTCATTTTAGTTCCACGAACTGTGGAAAACAATTGCAGCGAACCTTTCTTTTCAACCAAGGCACTGCGACACAGCTAATTTACTATCTCAGCTAAGAAACGAACAAGTCACACTAGCAGCGAGAATGTATTTTCCATGCGAACAAGCTTTGATATTCGTCTGGCAAGCATAACATTCAGCCACACAATACGACGTGCACCGCATGTGATCGAAACCTCCTTTCACGCCCTCTACATCAGGTTATATGAAGTTCGAGCCAAGCACAAAGTGCTACTCACGATTACGTGCCCAAGTGAGACATAGAAAAAGTAGAGCCCGTTGGCTCACGTTCGCGAGGCTGGGGTTGTCACCAGCAATGTTCAGGAAGTACGGATATTTAAATTACACAAGCGCCATTGCGGGTTGTGACTCTTGCGAAAACCCTTTATCGCCCCCTGTCGTTCGGAGTGCATTGCGTCACATGAGATTTTTTTTTTAAGTGCAAGAATAATACAAACTCAAGACATTTAACAATCCAAACATTCACAAATATATATATACACAAAGAGCCACGCAGCCATTTTCAGTACGCAACAAGAACAAACAACACCCCTCAAAGTCAGTCGTCAAAATAAATTAAGACTCAAGCAATGAAAGCACTTCTTGGGCTTTCTTATTTTTCAAAAGCCTCATAGTTCCAACATCTATACCACTGACCACAGTTATTACACCGGTTTTTATGGGCATGGCATGGGGCCCTGAGCAAAATGGGCCCCAAGCAGAACGTCAGGTGACCAGATAATAATTTGGAAGAACCGACTAATGGTGTAAAATGTAAAAACATAAATGTAAAACTACAGGCTGATCACATGATGATTTAAACCCAAACTTTCTAGAATATGTTTTCTTTTTCGCAGGCATCGTCAGACAAACATTAAATATATGTAGGCCATTTAGACATACGAAATGTAAATAAACAAACATAACACAATCAAAAAATATGATTTATTTATTTTTTTGGTAGTTCTTGACTAAAACAAAACAAAAGACTTTTTGGACATTTAAAATGTTGACATATACCTTTTCCCAGTCTTTTGCCTATGAACTGGAAGCAAGTGCTTGCCCTGTTTTACAGAATATGTTGGGGGAAGAGCGGCCTCCTCTTCCCCGCGCGTTCGTTGAATTTCGGACGAGGAGAATGTTGGTAATCCAAATAAAGGCTGGAGTTGATGAACAGTTCCTTCGAAGCTTTTAATAACAGAATATTCCGGGCACCCACGAATTACAGACAATGGCTGCGCGTCACGAGTGCGAAGCAGGAAGAGCTTCACATCATTTTTATACCATCAGAAGAGCGGTACCGAGACACAAAGTGTGATATCATAACTTTCGTTTCTCCTAAACCAATTCTCAGCTTGGCGCATTCCAAAGTTTGTGCGTCTTCAGCAGGGAGTATTCCAATTCTAGGTGATGATTGTTACAAAGACGCAAAGCTATACTGCGAACATGGGAAAGTTATACAGCATGATGAAATATGAGCAGAATACAGACTTCAAATACAAAAGTTGGTTGTGCATAATCTCTATTAAAATCTCAAAAATGCTGTTTGCTAGTTGGACTTCACTGTTAGGAGTTTTGCCTGACCCACCAATCAGAGGATGGAAAATGCTGATCTTATTGAGGCGAATTTCAATTCTGATTAGTTTGAAAAAAAACAGTCCCATTGCTAATAAAGTTGAAGTTATAGTATACATGACAGCTCTTTTTATTCTGAATATTCCGGTCAAATTCGGTTGCCATGGCAACTCACAGCCTGAAATCATTATCATTCACACACTTTGATCCTCTCCTCTTTCATCTCTAACTGCTTCAAACAACAAAGTGTATGCAGGAAAAGTGATTAAGATTGCACGACTGTCTGTGTCTTATGCGTTGTGTTGTGTTATATTGTTATTTTGACTTCAAGATGGCGCCGCGAGAGTGGCTGCCTTTCCAGCAGCTCCTACATTTTTTTCTTCTACTTCTTCCTTTCATAACTTTGCTGCTGTGGATTGGAAATTTCTCCATTGTGAGACTAATAAAGGACTTCTTATCTTATACATTACACACTGGAAGCAGAACCCAAGAGAAACGCTAAACCATAAAGTGTATAGGGCCAACAGAAAAAAAAACAAAAACTTTATGGCTGTACACCTACTATAAAACCAGTATGGCAGTGTTACATTATGTAATAAGGTTATTACAGTCATACCTCGGTTTTCTACCATAATGAGTTCCAGAAGGCTGTTCAAAAGCGATTTATTCGAAAACCGAAGCCACGCTCTTTAAAAAAAATCTTTATTGATGATGTCTGCTCACAATAGAACGGTACACCTAGGAAGCATCACTTCCTCGCCTACCCGAGGAAACGTCACTTCCTTGTGTAAGGACAGTAGGAGGAGTCAAGTGGTGCATTCAAGTGCGCTCAGTTTGGTCGAAAACCGATTTGGTCGAGAACTGAGACGTTCGAAAACCGAGGTTTGACTGTACTTTTGGGTTAAAAAAACTGCAAATATTATAGGTCATGCAAGAACAAGAATCTATAATTGCAACAATAAATAGTGATGAGTTTCACCGTAAACATTGCACCGAACAATGTACAGCTTACATTACCATCCAGCCTTCGTCCGGGTACAGTGTTCACTCCTCCTCCTCTCCTTGCAATGCGAAACTGTATTGCGTACATTGCTGTGTGAAGAAAGAAGGATACTCTGTGTCTGTCAAAGGCCAATTTAAGGCCAAGCGAGCTTCACTAATGTGCAGTGACACAATCCTAACTCTAGAGAGCAGTGTTGAACCGTTAAAAATGCATACAATTCTGAAACGACTTGATACAGGTGCAGCCGAACTACAGCACAGTATAAGGCTAAAAACCTCAACCCAGTCCCTGTAATAATTAAAATATTCAAACTGACTGCCATTGCAAATTATATATTGCAGATGAACACGTTACTAGAAGTGGCACATCATGTTGGTGAACAAATAAGCAAATAGTGCAGTTTTTATTTCAGTGCAAACATTTAACATCAATTCTATTGTATTTTACGCCTTGTTTGAGCAAATAACCATGGATACAGCAAGTACAATTAATTTGTAACTAAGAAACATGGCAATATCGCAAAACAATTTAAATAAATGAGCATTTAAGAGGTATTATATGTGATCTGCAGAGAATCAGTTGGTATATTGAACTAGACCCCAACATTTTTCTTTCGCAGCCACTTTCCAAACTTTTCATAGTGGAAGCTGGACATTTCAGACTTCCCATTCGTCTGTAAAGTAGGGTTAGTAGTCCAAAGGCACAGCGCCCTCTTCACCGAGGAAGCAGCAAAGGTGCAAAACAATTAAGTTATTGAGCTTGGGAATTTTGCCCAGGGCTACATGTGGGACGGGAGTCTGGGTGGATAGAGCAATTCCCAAACAATGTTTCGAGAGAGACAATCAGGTGTGCTGCGTATTTTTTTTTCCAATTTCACATCATTGGTTCGAAAATTACACGACTTGAAAATGTTTGCCTATAGCCTAGGACTCGGTCATGCTTCACTTCATGTCACGATATCAATAAAATGTACGAACGTGCTTCCTAAAAGTAGTGTTTTTACATGATGTCTTTGTAGATTCTTGGTGTTTTGGGTCATTGTAATCAAGAAAGTTCGAATTGCAAATTGACTCTTTTTAGATGCTGAATTTGTTTTTTTCCTCTGACAAAAAAAAACACAGGTAATTGGGTCAACGAAATAATGTCTTAGTTCACCTATCTATGCCTGCAACTTATATTGAGAGGCGGAACAATCAAATGCGCCTACTTTACAGGGCAGAAGTTCCGTAATTGACCTGTGTGTCCACTTTTTGTGACGTTTTTTTGTTCGGTGGTGGGCCGGTAGATTTATCTAATGTAAAACGTGGCTCATTAAAAGTTAGGAAACCCATATTCAAAATTAGATAGGGTGCTATCCTCAAGGTCGGCGAACGCGCCACATGATGAGCAGAATGACCAAATTCTTCAGAGCAGTGTGGCCCCGCCCCCTCATCCAGATGTGCGCCCCGCCGGCGTCGAGTCAGTGAGCGTCCGCCTTCAACAGAGCGCGCAGCTCCGCACAGTCAACAAGAGGCTGCTGCCCGGAGAGACACTTTGGATGAACAGAAACGATCTGAACCGTCGCGTTCACCCCTCCACTGAATCCTCGTTGTGACTGGACTAATGCTTGTGGCTGGACTGCGTCCATCGAGGTGGTTTGTTGTACCTGTTCAACCTGGTGCGTAAAAGGATGACAAAAGCAAAACAGAGGCAGATTCACTTAGAGATCTTTTGAGAGATTGTTTTTAAGGTAACTGACCGAAACATTTTTTTTCGACAAAATGAGGATTACAAGTGGTTGCCAACTCGAAAGTGGTGCGAAGTCGCCTCCACATTGAGGGGATCCAAGTGCACTTTGCAGGGGCGTGTTGTTAATTGAAATCGATCACGCGGTTTTCATCCTCCTCTTCGCCGTCCTTCGCACACCTTCATCATGACTTCACTATCTGGGTCCAAGGAGAGATCAGTGGCCGGCCGGGGCAGAAAGTATACGGTAAGAACACCTCAGTGTATTCATTTATTAATGAAAAACGTTCTATAAATCCAGTGCATATTATACTTGCAAAGGTGTCCCTCAGACCCAAAGCAGAAACGGAGGCAAAGCAAACGAGGAATTTTCCACTCAGGGGCCATCTCAGTTTTTATTAAGCCCTCTGAGGGTCATACTAAATTTATGAAATACATGATTGCAGCACGTGGTGGTAATGGTTAGCATGCTTGTCTCACAATTCTGAGGCTCGGGGCTTGAATCATGCTCCTGTCGTTTGACTTTAATGGAATGGTATGTAACCTCTAAGTTGTATTTTTATATGCGAACATATTAGGGCAGCGCTGAGGAGCTGTGGTTAGTATGTAAAAAAGGTTGTGGGTTTCAAATCTCACCTCAGGTATCATGTGTGGGATGTGCATGTTTTCTCTTGGCTTGTCTGGGGTATACCGTAATTCCAGTTTCCTCTCACACTGATGGTAATTGAAGATTCTATGTTGTTCACAGGTGTGAATGTGTGAGTTGATATAGCTATGATATATCTACGGAGAACTTGACCAGTGCAGGGTGCACACCACTTTGCGTCCAAACTAAGATGGGGTTGATTCCACCTCACGCACAACTCTGACAAGGAGAAGCGCTGAAGAAAATCGATGGATGATGTAATCATTCGACAAATGTTTATTATCATAGATTTTGAGCATGGGTGGGTTGAGTGGTTTGCGGATTTTCATAAAAGTTCTTCAGATGTTTAAATTATGTTCCAAACACCAGATGGGGCAAAGCTCCTCTTGGAATAAATGTGTTATTAATTTTCAGACAAACAAATTGCCTTTTTGCCTCAACATGCTTACAAACTCACCAATTTTTCATGCCCACATATCCTGGTAAGATGTTCTCTCTTTTAGCATTATTTTTCCATTTTAGCACTTTCAGCAAAGACGGTGCTCCCCCAAATTCATAGCGCCAGTGGAACGTTAGAGAAATAATCAACACTAACACTCGTTTCGCCAGCTGACCAAAAATTCAGTGGACATGTCCCAAGCACAAAAGTGAACAGGAAGTTGGGAATTTTGATTTTAAGTAGTAATTTAGGGCAAATTGCACTTTCATCAACCAAATGAACCTCAATTGGAATGTTTTATGTGGGCGAAATTAGTGTAAAAGTTTGCTGATCATTTTTCAGGAGTAGTCCTGAAAAAGGGGGTATGAGAGCCTGTTCATTGCTGCTTGCAGCTGGAATACTGGATGTGTTTAGAATGTTGGATCGAATGCCTGCTGTATAGGTTCCCCACTCCCAATTAAAATGATGAAAAAAAAGTAGAATATCCCCGCCATGTGTGTGGGCCTTGCTTTGTAACCTGGAAATCTTGGCTGTTGAAGATCTTCATGTATGTAGTGTGGTGACGGTTAAGTGGTGAGTCTGTCTGGCAGAAAGTCGATAGTTTTGAATCCCAGCTCAAGCCTCCCTCGGTGGAGTTTGCATCTTCCCCCCATGCTTGGGTGGATTTTCACAGGTCCTCTGGATTCCCCCTACATTCAGGTACATTGAAGGCTCTAAATCATTGGTCCCAAGAACTGGTCCGTGGCCCGGTAACGCACCATGGGCCATTTGGTATTGAGCTGCGCAAATATGTTTAATTCACTTTTTCTTTTAGGTAGACGAGTGTATATGTTCCAATCGAGAATGCATATCATCACCTCCACCGCGTTAGACGATTTGTTTCTGACCGCAAATAAACGTCAGCATCCAACCCATGTGAGGCGAATGGTTGCCGATCTGCAAATTATCTGTCCTGCCATGAACTGTTCCCTGGCAGTGATCTTGTCATTAACTGTCACATGCAAAATGCTAAATTAGTGTACCTTCAGCACCCTCCCCCCCCACACACACACCTAACTGAGAACCACACACACACACACACACACACACACACACACACACACACACACACACACACACACACACACACACAGACACACAGACATCTAACACCTAATAACATTTACAAGATGTTAAACCCCCCCTCTCTCGTGAACATTCCCCCATGTCAGTCTTTTCATGACACTTATTATAGCTCTTAGGAGAGATTTTAGGAACCACTGTGCCACCACATCAATAGCCCAACTCTTTGTGGCTCATTTGAAGTTCCCATGCTTCTGGGGAGTAGTCTCGGTTGAGTTATAACACACAACGATGAGCAGAATCTGTTGCCTTAAAAGTTGCGCTTTGCACAAGAAAAAAACAAAAAAAAACAACTGAAAACGATTTCTTCAAAACAAACAGGTTTGCAAAATATACACATCATTGGTCATGCTTACCCTCTTTACCCTGAAGAGATGTATCAATCAATATGCGGATTTATATCGCTGTATATTATTGTGGCTATATGTTTGAAGTGGTCCTCCACATCATACTAAGAGCTGTTTCTAGAATTTGGACTTGTATTGGATCTCATTAAATTGCGCAAGTAGTCATAATGCCGCGGCCCGCTGAGATGGATAAAAATGGATTTGATTAACTCATATTCCACGACTGCAATATTAATCAGAATGCCATGTGTAGACGAGTGGAGGCGCATTGAACATATTATTGTCAAGAACATTTTGGGTTTTATTTTCCCTTTAAATATGATGAGATTCTATTTTGTGTGACATTTTCTATTTAGTGAAGCAAGGTGCTAACAATAGCACGTGTGCGTACAACAGAGCTCACTCCTGTGTTAAATGTTCCACAGATACCCGACACTTCCCCCACCAAATCAGCCTCCTTTTTCCCGGACACGTGGTACCGAAAGGCTTACGAGGAAACCAGCCGATCCAGCTCTCGTCCCGCACCCGAAGGCGCCGGCTCCATGCCCAGCTCAACGGGCACCCCTTCTCCAGGCTCGGGGATCTCCTCACCAGGCTCCCTCTCTGGATCGCCTGGGACAATCTCCCCGGGGATATGCACCGGATCTCCAGGTTCTCTTGGCGGATCTCCGGGTTTTGGGACGGGCTCCCCGGCCTCGGGCAGTGGAAGTTCTCCTGGAAGTGAAAGAGGGATTTGGTGTGAGAACTGCAACACAAGGCTGACGGAGCTGAAAAGACAAGCATTAAAACTTCTCATCCCGGGACCTTATTCAAGCAAGGTATGGACAGTGTGTGTGTGTTGCTCCGCTCCCTAACATAACTTGCTCCTTAATAAACTGTGACATTTGGACAGTGGCGATTATTAATTTGTTTACCCGTGAAATATTGGCCTGCTCGTCATTTCCTTGCCTTAGGTGTAGTCCTATAATCTGGGTTATTGTTCTCATAAATCAAGAGGGTGCACTGATTTGCCCAACACTCCCTGACCACCTGCGCAAGTTGGGGGGGGCCAAACAGATGTTTGCTCTCAAATTATTATTTAGAGAAGGTGTTCATCCATCACACACAGGGGCAAGACTACTTGGAATTTTACAGACAGCATTGAGAGCAAATATTGATCCTTAAAGATTTGTTGCTTTTCATATATATATATATATATATATATATATATATATATATATGCAATCAATTTCAAACCAAGTGGTGACCCTCAATATGTATATCCTGAACGCTGTAGGTTGATTAATGATAGGGATTAAATTGTAGACTGCACACATGGATCACCATGTCTGGAAATGATTTTTCACACCATCATCTGCACACAACAGTCATTTTCTCAAGGAAGTGAACAATTATAGACAATTATTGACTCAACTGAACAACTTGTTCGAATTTGGCATGAAATTGTGTCAAGTAACAAGTAGTTGCACAACAGTTCTGAGGTTGGCGTTGAAATCTGGGCCCATTCCCTCTTGTGAGAAGTTTGCATGTTTTCTCCACGCATGTGTGGGTTTGCTTCAAGTACTTAGTTTTGTCCCACATTCCAAAATCATGCATTTAATGTTAATCAAAGACTCTGGGCTCTATTTTTGTACCCAGCACAAGTCTCTGTCTGATCGTGCATATGGGTGGAGTTGTCTTTCTTTTTGTATTTTCTGAGACTGGCGCAGAAAAAAAAGCGTGCATTTGCACCATTGTGGGAGGCAACAGAGCCGACTTGTTTGCTATCCAATGGAAGCGGCTCCCATCATTTCCTCTAAATTCAGAGCATTGAGAGGCATGCGGTCTACATGGCATATATTGTATATGCGCACAAAGTACATTTAAAAGGAAGTGAAAGACATTCTCCACTTGCGGATGATATAAAGTTGACTGCTGGAATCTCGGTTGTTCTGAACCCCTCTTTGGATGCCAGTTCTGAGCGGAAGAATAAAGCAGCCCAGAGTTGCTCTCGGCGTCATAATGGCAATCGTCATGAATGTCGCTCAACTTCCCAAGCAATGTCATGTTCTTTAGACAGCAAACTAGTTGAGGCACAATCAACAGCACCTCTAGTGGTTGCACAGCAAATCCATTTGCCTTCAGAAAATCAACAATCAATTGCACTGAATCAACAATTCTTTCCAATCAATTAATCGATTATGCCCATCTTCAGTCGCTAATGTTGAGTGAAGAGTTTGCAAGATCACATGGCTGTTTGCTGTAACAGCATTGCAAAATATTATCACCCAGTTATCCAAATTAGTTATGTGTTGCTGCATGCCACCTTGTGTGAAATCAATTAATTACACAGGGTGCTCATGTACTGTACACAGAACATTTTCAATTACAACGATTTACTGGGTTTCCAATGGCTTCATTTTTGCCTTTAGGTCTTCCGCCGCAGCTGACTGGATTTCGGTTAGGAATACAGCTGGGTCACACATCAGGCTCGGAGTTAATTGGCAACCTATAAGCATGTTTTATGCATCATTGTGGGAGCAATAAAATATCGAAATGGGGGGTCAGAAAGGAAGTAGTAGTTGGTAATGAACAGTGCGGGGAGCTTGTTAAGACAGTGACAGTGGTAGAAGCAGAAACAATCGGACCCATGCAGACTGTTGATGGGAAGACTACGAATTAGGATGTTATTTGCATCGTTGGCTTTGGCGTCTGACCCCTGCCTTTGTCCTCTCTATGGTTAAACTTGCAGTGCTGTAATTAGTTGAGGAAACAAATTAAACAAACTTTACTTGCTCCACATGAGGAAGTTCGCACTCACCGGGCACTCAATAAAGAACACCTGCGCAATTTAATGAGTTTCAATACAAATGCTTAATACCAGCTTGCTGTACACTGCTGCAAAGTACCGTAAAATCCCATGTATAATACATACACGTTTAAAGTACGCACTCTACAAATCAATCTTAAAGAGTATATTTTGAAATGTGCGCTCTTTTTCACTGTCTTGGTCAAGCTCCTCCAATTTCACCTCTACTGTTTTAAAGAGAGTGCCAGGTGGGTGATTGGAGACAGACCCCCCCCCCCCCCAAAAAAAACTTTGCCTTATTGACTTGTTCGCAAAGTGACTTCACAATACAGTAGCGGCTTTGCCAGCTAAAACAGCACATTTCAGCCTAGTCTGTTAAAAAGTTTATTTTGAAGTTGGCCTCTTACAATTTTGGTAGCGTGATACGTTGCATGGGCACTGTCTAGCGGCTCTAGCCACTGGTTAACGTCTAAAGAAGGAAGGTGATATTTGTGTGTGTGTGTGTGTGTGTGTGTGTGTGTGTGTGTGTGTGTGTGTGTGTGTGTGTGTGTCTGTGTGTGTGCGTGCGCGCGTGCGCGCGTGTGTGTGTGTGCGTGTGGATTCATCTTGTGCGTTTGTTCTCTCGGCATGAGATTCCAAGTTATTCCCACAGGATGCTGAAACACACATGACCCCACACTGTTAGAACAGTCACCTTACACTCCATTGTAGGTCTGTCCTGTTTCTAAGCCATTGATATGAATACATGGAGGAATCATCACACACACACACACACACACACACACACACACACACACACACACACACACACACACACACACACACGACTGCTAATAGTATGCTAATGATGACCTTCAACAGTCTTACTGTTGAATATTTTCCACTTGGTTTGTCTACTCTATGTGTGTGTCTGCTCACTTGTGCTGGTTGGGTAGCATCTAACGCAGGGGTGTCAAACTCATTTTTGTCAAAAAGGGGAGGTGTCTTCCCTCGGACGGGCCGGTATGACAATTAAACCAAACAAAGGTTTAATCGTCTCACCGTATTATTACTTGTATACCACAAATTGATGGATCACTCGTTTTGAAATCAGTCAACAATAATAGTTTGTCCACTTATTGTTCAAGTGAGTGTAAACAGGGTAACAACGTTTTTGTAAAATCTCAAAGTTATTTATTACACATGACAATTTGACATTTCGTTACAGAAGATAGCCTAAATAACTTCTAAACATTTCATGGTGGAGGAAATTATGAACTGTTAAAAGCAGTGGTCAATGTAAGCATAAAACCTTCAAGCTGCAAGAAACAAAAAAGCCAACTAGAACATCTGAACTTTATTTGGTGTTAATCATAGTCACTTTAAATGCTGGCAGGTGTGTGGTGACATCCATTTAACATTAGTTTGATTGTGATTGGTTAATTTTGAAAATAGCCACATTCCATTTGTCAGAGGGTATACACACTTATGCAACCACCTGATCTCATTTACCTCAAATACATTTTCATATGAATACATGATTATATTTAGCGGAACAGCAGCACTCCACTAAAGTAACACAAAACTTCAGCATTGGAACTGCTGTCATAGGAGGCAATATTTCAGCACGTTACGCAAAAATTCAACATACTTTACAAAACCAGTTCAATAAGCATCCAAGGATGAACTGCGTTTCCAATACACTGACTATGCAGTGACACTTACGGCTCTATTTTTGTAGACACAGTGCACATGCACTCGGGAGTAAAATCCAGCACATCTTCTTTTTTGTTTTTTTAATTTTTTTTTTTTTTATTTCTATAATTTCCTGTGGAATTTTCATTCTATTTTTTTTTAAATCCAAACATGACCCACTCGTGCCCCAGAATGATTTGTCTCAGAATTAGTAGCCATAAAGCTGTTTTGCGCAATGCGAGGCACGAGAATGCAATGTGGGAGGGATTAAACTGAACGGTGTGTGTGTTTTCAGTTTTTGGATGCATCAAAAATGCCCTGACACTTGTGACCGCAGGACTCTGACGCACATCTGGCAGCACAGCTGTGCTCACTTAAGGCTTGTGTCCATGTGGTTGTGCTGCTGTGCGTCTGTCCGGGTACTCACACACCCCAGTCATAAAAACTCATCTGTGTGTGTGCGGTGAAGTTCGGCTCAGCAAAGTGGGTCAGTATTGTACTTGTGTGTTTTAAAAGGACAGTATCTGTTTCAAATCTTCTAAAAGTCAAAATAAGGTGTGTTTATAAAGTGAACTATATACACTTAATGCGTTTGAGACACAAAAAAAGAGCCATAATAGGCCATGTTTGGGAATATATTTCCTTCCTTCCTAATACCACTTGAAGATTTACTGATGAGGACGATGTCAACTTTACAGATGGCGTAGTCATGGCTTCAAAGTTTTATGGAACTATACGACACGTACTTGCTCTTAGAGTGTTGATTTTAGTAGAAGTACTAGTGTGTGTCCAAGGATGGGGCAGGAGACTGAACACCCTCAGAATGTTAACACGTGGTGCATCATTGCGAGTATTAATGATGGATATATCGTAATTGATAGCTTGTTCAACTTTTTTTCTACTTTGTGTAAGTAAATCAGAATATGAATTTAAAATAGGATCTAATGCAGGGAAAGGGCAGGGAAGGGCAACTTACAGTCAATGCTGGAGGGGGCCAGGATTTCTCATAACCACTACTTGGGGGAAGGGTGGGGGGGCACATAAGATCATGCACTTCCTAACCAGATGTGTGGCAAAAATACCTGTTCGATATACGTTTTTATTGAAATACGCTTTTCAATAAAAGATCCACCATCATAACACAAAAACAAAGGGTTTGAAGCAACCAACAAAATAACTACAAAATACATACTGTACTGTATTGTACTGTACTGTATTTTCTTTTTCAGTGCAAAGGGCTCACTTGTATAAAAATCACTATTCAAGGACAGCACAAGGACAGCACAAAACTGCTGAACAAGAAATCACCACCCACTGCAATTGTTATTACATTTTTTCACAAAGGTCAACAACTCA